TAAAAAAAAAAAAAAAAAAAAAAAAAAAAAAAAAAAAAAAAAACCAATATTGAGGCCGGATCTTTCATCTGCCACTGTCACAGAACTGGCCGACTGGTTGTCACATATACTTTGCATTACTGTGCCCAAATAGATGAATACAGATGTCGACCAGGAATAACACGTTACTGCAAGTTTCTGTGACAAGTATCCTGTATCTACAATAAAATTTGCAAGAAATATGAACACAGTCCTTTCTTGTCACTCTTCTCCAATGCTTTGCCCTAAAAAGGCACAAAAAAGAACCCTAAATGGTTAAAAAGCAACACTGGGATGAATAAATTGCTACCACAAAACAAGTTCACTGTACGTGTAGGCTACGTGTATAAATTTTTGTATGAGCGTGAGATATAAATCAAAACTACACATGCATGCTTAACCTCATTGGTAGGCGTGCTCATGCCAAAAGCCACATGCTAAATTGTACGTGTTGCGCCGAATGACTACCAGTGGCGTAAATCTGTGTTGGAAATGGGGGATGGGGCATGGGGAAAGGGGGGAATGACTTGCCCTGCCATGGAAATTTGGAAAGGGGGGGCACCATATGACTCTATAATTAGGTCGATGTTCATGATATTGATGTACATCTATGAAATATATTTCAAAGGGCATATTGGAGGCTTTTATAATTGTTTTCCCTTTTCGGAGTGATATTGACGCATTTTAGTCGGAGGAAGTCTGAAAAGTTCTTCACAGTCCGCTTTAATTTTTTGCTCACAAAAAAAGGGGGGGGGTGATTCAATAGCCCTTCCCCCGTCCTAAGGGTAGTTTGGGAATTCTCATCCCCGGGATTTAGGCCTACCCATGTGTACATGTCCAATACACCGTGTACTTGTACATGAAATGTTTTGTGTGTACGTGTATATACCCTCCTGTACATGTACGACACTGTTGTACACGTGCTTCAGCCTCAACATATAAATTCACATGTGTGTGTGTTTTCAAACTTATGATATTGCTTTTAAAAGAACAACTAGATTCATTTTGCTGATGGTATTCTTGATACTTTTGTCAAAAGTAAAATTTGCCTCTGTGTGTGTGAAACAAAACATAAAATTTGGATGCTTTGATTAATACAGGCGATTCACAATAGTGCGCGTCCAAGAGTTTGATACGCGTTGGCCAATCACGACGCGCGAAATTTGTCGACCCTTTCCAAACGCGCATTGGGTCGACAAATTTCGCGCACTGTGATTGGCCAACGCGTTGCAAACTCTTGGAAGCGCACTATTGTGAAACGCCCGTATTGGGCCCATGACCAACAACAAAGTATATCTGCAACTGCAAATCACGTGCCTGCCCTGGGAGAAATGTTCATACTTCTGATTTCCTTCCATTAAATTTGAAGCAGCTGCTCCCCCTACCCTCTGTTGGATATTCCAATTGGCTTCTGGCGCTTCAGAAGAACTTTAAAAAAAGGTTAGAGGGGCTGAAACTTATTGATTGGAACTAGAAAAAGATCTCCATAAACCCATAGGACTTTTCATTAGTCTGTTGCATTAAACAAAAACAATCTATAGACTTGGTTTCCAAGCAGGAGAAATCTGGTTTCTCTTCGACGGATGCTTTCTGGAAGGTGCTATACGTCTATGCGTCCATTAATTTTTAATTATTATAGCTTACCTTTGACATTTCACTGATCCACACGTGGACTTAAAACGTAGGTGCGTTGTATTTTTTACAATCAACCTGAACAATAACTTTGTTTATACATTTTATTACTTCTTGGAGACTTTCTAAGGGATCATTTGAATATACTTTAAATAATATGGAAATAATACGCGCCCATCAAAAACAGTGCAAAATCAAACCGAAGTAGCGCCTCCAGTTTACTCTCGGGAAGCGGTTGGCCTCAATTTTTTCACTGGAAATTCAAGATTATGGCCAGAAGATCACTTTTTGTTTCGATTTTATGGGGGATTAGCCACTTGAAGGTTTTAATCCACCTTTCCCCGAAGATACCCCCAAAATAGTAGTAAAACTATGCGTTCAGCTCTGAATGTGGCCGCCCGCCTCTAGCTAAAATAGGCCCGCAATTTGGGGCGATTTGTGACAGAAATAACCTGAACTAGAAACTATCAGTCCCAAATTCGGGATTTATAGAAATATTTCTACGATCCTTCCTGATTATGGCGTGTCTTATTGTAAAAGCCCCGAGGGATCACAAAATATTAATGAGCTCGTGCGCAGAAATCCAACCATCTGGTGCAATGCACCCATATGGTCTTCACATTCTTAACAGTGGAGTGATACCGTCTACACCACGGCCATGGCAACACTCGGGAAGAAAGAGAGGAGATTGGTGTTTGAAATACATTGGGCTGAGATGGAACCGGTCATCACCACCAAGAGGGACGCTCTGACCAATTACAAGTGCAAAAGAATACATCAACAGCTCCCAGTAGGCCTACTTGCGGTAACTGCAATTTTGATTCAGATATTTATTGAGTCTTTACTCCTCTGATGCATGCGTTGTGTTGTAATGTGATGCGAGGACCAGGATCAGCGAAGAAACCAAGAGAAAACCCTCCAAGCCAGTGTGCTCTCACTCCCAGCCAACTACGGCAATAAGGAATAATACGCACAAATTGGCTGCAACGTGCATTACACAGGTATTTCGTAAGGTTTCGATTACGCTCATTAATACAGCCACACTCTAAAAACTCCTGGGACAGATTGACCCAGAAAGGGTCAAATACGACCCGATGGGGGGGTCATTTTTTGACCCAGATAAGGGACACGCGGAATGGGACCCAATTCTGGGTCAATCTGACCGGGGAATTTTAGAGTGCAGCTGAAATACACCTTTTGACCCATTTACCACCAGTATTCGGGTATGTTTATGACCCGTCAAAAGGGGAATTTCCGGGCCAAAACTGGTCAATGGAGTTTTTGAATGTTCAGTTCCAGAAGCAGTGGAAGACGGAGAAAATGAAAGTCCTGACAGCCAAAATACTCGTGCTACACTGCGTGATCACTCCGCAGTGAAATAATCTCGACTATCAATCCACAATTTGTTGAGAATAGAATTATCACCTTACAAAGTTGGAAAGTTGCCAAGACTTTAGAAACGATGCTAACACTTGTCTATTCGGGGTGTGCAGGCTCTATTACGAATGAAAAGAGGACAGCCCTTGTAGGAAAAGCACGCTCCCGAACAAAACCCAGATGCACCGTTACCCTTAGCTATCATATCGTCTCAGTATGCTGTATATTAATTGAGACACACAAACCACACTGTTTAATGTTGAATGGTTTGAAATTTATTCCCTTCACCTCAATACATAATGACAACAAAGAAATATCAAGTTTGTACAGCTGCTGCAAATTTAAATTAAATTCGAGATATGAACATTTACTCAGATACTAGAGCAAGCACGTAATTTGCGTTTGATTATATTTGATTCGCTTTTGTTGTATTAAAATCACTGCCACGGAAATAACATTTTGCTCTTATCTTTCAAGTGAAGTTGTACAATAATTCTAAGCATGCTAAGCATTCTGTTCAATGCCACTTCCACCGTTAAGTCAGGCTGCAAGTCTGTCTTCTTGGAAAGTGAGTGCACAAACAGTTGAAAGAGGCTCATTCTTCGTTCCTTACGAAGTGGCATGGGTACAAATCTTAGGGACCAATCGGGGTTTTCTCACCTCCCATTACATTTTAACCGGTGGACGGGCCAATGGATTCCTCCGCCTCCTTTTTTGTGTACGGAAAAGGCGAAAGGAAATGTGTCAGAGTATAAGCTGGGTATTGGTTTATACTCACTGGATAAACAGCGCCCTCCTGTAAGATGACCACCCCTCCCTCCTGCATTTCGAATGTTCCAATGCCGACTTGCTCTGGGGAAATAGTTTTCATCATTAACCCCCCCCCATATAGCTGTTAGAACTTCTTATTTCACTGACAAGAGCTGGAACGAAAAATAGTTCGATCTCAAAACTGGGCATTTTAGTTTTCCACCCTTAATGGATCAAAAGATCACTACAGTTCAAGTTGAATTTTTATCTAATTTCGCCTTGGGGCTCTGTATTGTAATCATGCAATTTCAGCATTGTCAGACTGAGCATTATCGATGGACTTCTCTTGGCTGCAGCTGAAGACAACCCACCTCTGTTGTTCGTATAAATACGAACGATGAGAACAATACTCAACAGTGACCAGTATTTTGAATGCATTTTGAAGACTTCAGAAATGTCGCAGGTTTTTCCTCTTACTCCTGCAAGAAAATTCACAACGAGGAAAAGGTAACATTTAATCTTACAGCATTTAGACCATAGTTAACAAGGAATGGACCTTGTTTTTTCAACCAAAGATGAAAACTTCCATCCATCTATCCTTTCACTTTTACCTATAACTATTGACAATTTTAAAACAGTACACTTAAAAAAGATTTTTGCAATTATTCAGCATGCTAATAGCTTACAATTAACCTTCTCAGATTTTATTTTCTTCCCTTTAAGTTTCGATCTAATCGTGCATATTTCTCCCTTCAAATGACAATAATCTTAAACTCGGTTCAACTGATAAAAAACTCAGAGAAACAGACAAATACACAAACAAATATTAATTCTAGAGTGTGCTGGGAGGAGACGACCTTTATAATGGGAATGATACAAGAACTTGACAATTTAAGAGAAGTACAGATAATGGCGCTATCTACTTACAGTTTGAGTGGTGTCCCAATAAATCCGATCATCCAGTTAGGCATCGTTGTAGCAGGTGGTTTGGCTACAAACACAAGAACAGGATCAATTGTGTGTAAGAAACAACGTTCTTTCATTTTTGTTCGTCATATTTAGGAGACAAATCGAGCATCTGATTATTATCTATACACGTCAAAATTTCAGTAAAGTTGTTTTTCTACTCACGTGATGCGAGTGTCGTAGTAGGATCGGCTACAAGTAGACCAGCCCAGATCTTTTTGATGGTTGTCATTGTATGCAGCCATCAAATAGCCCTTCGATGAGCAGCTATTATGGGAACTACTTGTCGGTCCGGAAGAATCGTGGTACATTCCCAAGCTATAATTTATTCAAAAACATTAACACTGGGTACTGGTATCGACACGACACTGATGAGTTCGTTTGGGGCGATATCAAATCAAACTTGAAAATGTATGTCAAATTAAATTTGGAAAAAAAACTTATCTCATTAAAACAATCGAATTTGATCCAAAACTATATGTCTCCATTACAACGACTTGTTTCCAAAAATAAAAACATTAGATCCAATATTAAATAATATTAGAAACGAAGTGGAGAATATATATTTCGTACAAACGAACTTTGGGAAACATATATCTCGTGAAATCGAAGTTGAAACAATAAACTTCATAAAGATGTACTTCAATTTTTGACAATATTTACATGGTGGCACCACGGGGCGTTCGTGTATTGCAGTTGTGTTTGCGCTTTTAAATGGTGCCTTGTGGGGTACCGGAACAATGGAAGGTACCCCACAAGGCCAGATTTGATCCTTGTGGGGTACTCAAGTGGTACCCCACAAGAATTTCACAAAATAAATATTTCAAATTTACTCAAAAACTAGGAATTTTCAAGTGCCATTCATTCATCGCAAATTGTAGTGTTTTATATAAGGGACATACGGTCGACATTTCAACCCAGGAAACTGAATTTGGTTGAAATGGCAGTGATTTGAAATTTTTTCCGTGTTGTGTGGGAGTTTTGTACACGGGAACAAAGGAAATAACCCCACAAGTATACATATGTAAGGGGGTTTGTGCGTATACGTCAACTCACTTGTGTCCGATTTCGTGTGCCGTGACAGCTGTGGCATCAAGACTACGGAACTCACTAAGAGACGCACCCCAAGCTTTACAAGTACCGACGTAGGCTACGCCTAGAAGGCTTTCACCGGCGTCTGGATCTGATAGGTTTATTCTGCTTGTATGGAAAATCAGTGACGAACAATGAGTTAAAAGTCATTAAGGGATCTAGCTTCTTTTGACTTCTCATTTATTTGTTGAATCATATTTTGCTTAATCAGTCTCAGCCTGAATCAATGAACTTTAGAAACGCAGCTGTCTTTGTTTTATTCGTGCCGCTTAGCCTAAACTACGGATATTTTCTGACGAAAATCGCTGAAGATTAACCTTGCCTAATGCACACCGGTATTCTTCAGGTGTAACGAAGACCACTGCAAGAGAAGTGATTTCGGTAGCATTACTATTTTTGTTCTGTTACCTTGTTCTTGGTTTGATATTAACTGAACTTACTGCACACAGAGACACAAAAATAACCATTCCAAGGCCTGAAATTTATGAAAGAAAAGTCTTGTTGATATCGAACATGTCGAAAGAAACCAGTCACCGTTTGGGAAGAGAAAATCCACAGTGGTGTGTAATATCGCATGCAAGAGTGCGATTAAGAACAGAATCGATTTTCAAAGCGAGGAACACGCACCCTGTGAAAAATGCAGCATTGTCCCAATGTTCACTGCTCGATGATGGCCTGTTGTTGGTATCTTGCCATACACGACAGGTACCCAAATAGGTACTGCCATCAGTATTACTTGTCAGTCCAGTCTAATAAATCAACATAGCAATAAATGGGTCTAAGTGAGAGAAATCTTCAATTCAATTCGGTACATAAACGCTAGCAATTCCTTCAAGGTTAACACATTTTCATGTAGTTCTTCCTTGTGATTATGTTTATTCAAATTCTAAAGAAAAGTCTTTTATCAAGTCGTTTCAAATCTTGACTTCGACTTACCTCTGTTTTGCCAAAGATCTTAACGTATACCAGCTTTGGAACCAGTGCAGTACCTCTGAGAGAACTCAATTGCAACACGTTTTTTACCTGGATTTGAAAGTATACGAACAAAAAGATTGATTATCATTGAAGAACACCACCACCCCCAGCGTGCGAATCGAAAAAAAAGCTCTTTTAAAAAGACCATCAACATACCATTAGGGAAAATAGTTTAAATATAATCTATCTTGAGTCTTCTCCCTGAAGTTTACATTTACCATGCATGAACTCTGAACTTTAAAATGCTCTTTGTAATTATGCAGATCGGGTCTTCGTTGGGTGGAAGTTTTCCCTTAATGCTTTTGTGATTGAAGAGTGAGTTCTTGGTTCAAAAGAAGAATTATGGAATTTTATTTCGTAGGAAGTCATTTGCAAAAGCATTTCGGTGAATTGATTCTTGGAGTACCTGAATAAGCCTTTTGAGAGTAAAGTTTAAATAAAAGTGCAGCTGTGTTATAATAAGCCTTTTGCGAGTTAATCTTGAATAAAATCTGGTACTAACAATTTAAAGTCTCCATCATTGACTTCATTCAAGACACCGTTGCTATACTTCATGATTAGGCACAAGCTTTTAATAAGTGATTACATTAGAGACGCCTTGCACCCAATGCACTGTTTTCAACGGATAAGAAGGGCATAAAGGAACCAGTCCATTCCAGAGATGGTTGTTACTATGCAAAAGTTAGCCCCACATTATGAGGTATAGCACAGTGTCTTCCGCACGAAGATTCAAATTGTTATGGTTATGTGCAATCAGAACTCAGTGTACCAGATTGTATTCAAATTGAACTTGCAACAGACTTATTTCACAGAGGGAGTCCAGCAACATCCAGCAACGAAATTGATCAGTGTATAAAACTCACCGCGTTGAAAAGCGTGTTAATACAGGTGGTGGCTGAGCTGGTAGATCCACGACTGGAAGTGTACGACGAATCGGCAATGAACGCCAGCTCCAGATACTTGGTTGATTCAGTGTCTACAGGCTCCTCGGCGGAAATGGGCATGATGGGCGGGTCTGCAAGAGAGGAAATTGGCAAGATGGGCGGGTCTGCAAGAGAGGAAATTGGCAAGATGGGCGGGGCTGCAAGGGAGGAAAATGGCAAGATGGGTGGGTCTGCAAGGGAGGAAATTGGCAAGATGGGCGGGCCTGCAAGGGAGGAAATTGGCAAGATGGGCGGGGCTGCAAGGGAGGAAATTGGCAAGATGGGCGGGGCTGCAAGGGAGGAAATTGGCAAGATGGGCGGGGCTGCAAGGGAGGAAATTGGCAATATCGGCGCACTGCAAAAACTGTGGTGTTCAAATCAACACTTTTTGGTGCTATCAGATGACCACACTACAGGATGTAACTGGTGTTACCTTAAGTGTCACAATGCACTGGAGGGTGTTAAAATAACACCAAATAAAACAAAATTTTTAACAACGGTGAAAAGTGTTGGTGTACCCTCTGATAACACCAGGGGTGTTAAATTTAATTCCCCAGTTTTTGTAGTGTGGGTCTGCAAGAGAGGAAATTGCGACGATCGGCAGGTCTGCAAGAGGGGATACGATATTACTTGGAAAACCAAAAGAAAACTCCAGGTTGTCATTAGAAGCTGGCCAACTTTCGTATTTAATACTGTCACTGTGATTGAAAGTCTCACACTAAACTTAATATGCACATGGGGGTATGTAACGACCAAAATCCTTAAGGTGTCCGGCCGTGGAAATCCAGGTAGCGGAGGCGGAGTCAGTTTGGTTCCAAGGCCAAAAGATTGTGACTACATGTATTTGGGAGAAACTTAAGGTCCATGGATTGAAACTTACACAACTGTGGGGAAGGGCGGAGAATACCAAAGAGACGATACCAAAGAAACAGGTGACCAGGTCCAGCCCGATCACCTCCTAAAAGGCGACCTACCGATAGCTGAGCAGAAAGCCCCGCCTTTTTGTGGTCTGTTCTTATAAGCAACGTGCGGGTGGCCACGCCCAACATCCCTTTTGGCGGCATGTTTGTCTTCTAGTGGCTCGATGTAAAGCTCACCGCGCCCGTCGTTGCGAAATATCACCGCCATCTGGCATGAAAGCAAATCATTTCAATTTTAAAATACAGAAACTTCATAGCACCACTGTACAATGAAAAGCTGGAAATGAACACTCGGTGTGCGAAGTCTAAGACCTTTTTTCTTGCCGTCTTAAAGCCAGAACCTGTTGTCCAAAACTCCGAATCATTTGACGACTGATGTGTAAACATAATCACGTACCGGTTGTGTAAGCCGCGCGTGGGACTTACCAAGCCGTCACAAGTGGTAACCGAAGCGATGGAGTTCTGTTCCCCAGCTACCTTCCCCGTGTAGACGCAGTCTGTCCTGAGTGGCACCCTCTGGATGCCTTCATCGGTGTAAATCTCAGCCTCGAGCCCAGGAGCATAGTTGCTGTCATCGTGGTCCACGTTGAGGATGAGTGTCTCTCCGAAGGCTTCGACTTCCAGTTCAAGGAAAGAGGCTGCAATGGCTCCGTTGCCAACACTTCTCTTGCTGTCAGCTTCGACTACGAGTGGGTACACGACCTCATACTCAGGAGCTATACACGAAAAAAAAGAAAAGGGAAAGGCATTATTTTACGCCACATCATGTACATCTCTACGAGATTCCTTCTTTGCAATCACTACCCCACAGGAGGATTTTCGGTGATGCTTATGTATAAGGTCTGTTGATTGACAAACACAACTATTGCGTTATTGAATACGATCTGAAGGGAGGTTTACATGATGAACTTAGACGAAAGTTTGTGTTATTTCGTGATTCTTTCTGTGAGTGAGGTTGGTTCTGAAGGTTTACCTTCTGCGTGGTTTTCAACACCGAAGTAACGAATGAGCTCCTCGGTAGAAAATTCATCGTCTTTGTTCAACACCTGTGTTATAACACAAAAGCAATTCACGCTGAATTCTTCCAAATATATTATGACAGAGATGTATAATTTCGACAGCTGATTTCAGTTGACTAAATTGAATTGATAAAGCTCAAGTGTACTTCGGTGGATGTCCAGACATAAGAACTGTTGAGCTGTTGCGAAGTACGCCACTATAGAGATCTAAAAATCGAGTACTTCAGTCGAGGAATTGACACTTGTATACGCTACTGGGATACCCAGGTTTTCTTTGTCTATTTGATACTCTCTGTCAAAATTTAATTCCTCAATTAAAACTGTTAAAATTCCTAAATGCCACCAATCAGTAAATGATAAACGTTAAGGTGCAAATACAAGTTCGGAGCGTGCGCGAGGCTAGACCAGAAGTAACTTACCCCAGGCTTGGAGCAAGCCGTGGAAACCAACACTGCAAGCACGACAATCTTCAACATCATTGCGCAGGTGTTGAATCGCCGGGAATAACAAACTTACGGTCTCCAATGATGTTTTTATAACAATTTTGCGCTTGTCTTGAGGCACTCCAGCAACCACAATTTCCGGAAAACGGACCGACCAAAGTCCTTCAATTGTATTTTTCAGCACCAAAACACGCTTTTCCCATTTTTCTCAACTGAAGGCTGTCCACTGACCATTAAAACTAAACCGTGAAATAAACACTTGAAAATGACAAGACAATTCCTTCAATTAGCTTCGCTATTAATATAAAACACTCGAAAATAGTGAGTTTCTTTCGGAACTCAAGGATAGCAGTGACCAATTGAAAAAAAGCAAGTCTGGTCTGAGCCAATTTGGCTCATTATCAGGCCAGTGTTTATCACCGGTTTCCTTGGCATGAAACGACTGAGAATATTTCTATTCCCCCCTGGATGGGATGCCAGTCCATCACATGCTTCCAAGCTAATGCTGGTACCCATTTATACTGTGACTCCTCGGTGGAGAGAGGCAAGCAGGGGTGAGGTGCCCTGCCACAACATATACTGCCAGCAGCTGGATTCGAACCTCCAACCCTGTGATTGGAAACCACAGACCCTGACTACTTGGCCACATACCCCCATTTTGATTAAATTTAAAACTTGAAATCAGACAACAGTGGCATTCAGCCTCTGAAATTTCACTTTGATAAAACGAGAGATACCAATTTCGATATATACGCATTTTGGTTTTACCTAAATACGGTCGTCGAATGAAATGGGAAATGCGTATATTTTGCATCCTCCCAGCGCACAAAATGTATTGCAGCTTGCAGCAGATTTTTTAATTTATTCAATCAGACTCTATGAGCCGTCCCACGGTCTCCTTTGGTTCCAAGCCAGATGAGGAAAATGCATGCAACACCCATCCCAATCTGAAGCAGGCGTCCTTCAAAAAGATTTTTAAAAAGAAGAGAGACCAAACGATGCCAATGGGAATACGTGTTTGAAGAGTATTTTACTTCATGACCAGAACTGGGGAAGCGCATCACTTGACTTTATTTCATACTGCCACTTGAGTTTATTTCATAATTGAATAACTTCTTTGAAGTATTTTACTCATCAATTTGCCGGCACTTCGTTATTTTTTAGGTTTGAAACTGATGAGCTTTGAAGGCCTTTACTAAATTAAAGTGGACGCAATTTCCGTGACATCTAGAATTTGCGAAATGGAAAAACAATTTAGTTGCGGGTATTATTAGAGGCCGTGATGGATGGTGTCAATGAAGTCAGGTGCACCAGTTGCCTGACTGTTCTATGACTGGTGCGAGTCTATTTGCTTAGTCGTGACGTAAGCTCGGTTGATACGGGAAAGATGGTGCTCCATGCAGAACGGTGACGTTTCACAAGAACGGGAAAATAGGTGTTAAAATTTACTTGATTGGTGGCGAAAGATCTAGCAAGATTCATCGAAAACAGAGAGAAATCATCATGAATAATTTGTGTGCTAAATGTTCAGAAAGCAAAGCATATGCGTAAATTAAGGGGATGCGATCATTCATTCGCACTGTGTGGCCGGGAATGGGCCACTGCATCCCTCCTGTCGTAAGAAATATTAACATTGTGGATTTGTGGGCTTCTTTAAGTTACAACATGTGACAAATGTTAAGAGAGGGCTTAATACATGTTGCACAAAATCCTTCGTGTGAAAAACCGCTTTCAAATATGGTTAGGGCCTAGGGCTTGCAAGCATGCGTGTACAAAATGATGGCCCTCTATGAACAGCGCACATTATATTCATGGCGTTCATTGATATTACCACTATTTTTTATTGTGCTTAGCCAACAGGCTGTGTTGCATTTTGTGCAATGTTCTAGCAAAAATTAGACATCTTTGTTAGTGGGTCTCAAGAAAGCAAAGCAAAACAATAAAACTTTTATGATAAACCCAAAATTCGTTAGTACGTTTCATGAGTATTGGTTTCTTTGCCTGCGTCAGAAAACATGCTGGAAAATTTTGTTTTGCGAGCCCCCCTTTCACTTGAAGGGAGTGTCGCTAATCTGGGTAATTTTCTTCAGTAGGATACGTTTTCCCGGCTATATTGTAGCAGAAAGTGTACTAACTTTCGTAATTTTTGTTGCGCATAATAATAAGGACTAGACAAGTAAAGACTGTGTGTACATATCCTGTGACGTAAACAGGATGTGCGGAGCGTAGCGCCCTGTGTAGGTAGTAAGCTCTTTGGGGTGTGTGTGGGGGTTCAACTTAAATTTGAACTCTTGTCAACTAAAATTAACATATGACAGACACTTGAAAACGCTCATGGATCCAATGACACACGATAGTTTATCACACTGTTCGCAAATCGTACGGGTTTGCTACCTCCACTTTTTGTGCTGCAATAATGCTGTTGCGCTTTTTATACAGTGACACTTCTGCTTGGAAAATGTTGCACACCTTCAGAACCACAAGGGGTGCTCTTTTGCACATGTGTGATGCTACCACCCTTCCCTGTTGACAGCAGACCTTGGATCAATAGAGTTGGAAGTCAAGATATTTGAAAATGTGCGTTTGAGTTTGTACTGTGATTATACCCTTTACTTGCATGATGTAGAACACGACGTCAAGAACAGCCCCCCCCCAATACTTTTCCACCACTGCACTATCTGTGATAGTGCATTGTACACACAGTGTAAAGATCAGTTCCTCCCATATGATTGTTGTACTCAATGACAGCATTTGGTTTGCGGATATCGCAACAATTACTTGAGAGACTAGAAGGCTTAGGAGGGTAAGGTGAGTAAATACATTAAATTCAAGTGACCTGTGGGATTTTTCTCCCAAAATGCTTTCTTTTGCATTCAATAGGGCGCCATCTGTTGATTTCATTACGTACATGTACTACGTACGGGTACGGCAACCCGTACCGTACCGGTACCCGTACAGTATCTGCTGCATGGGGCCGAACTGCATGTAGTTTCGTGTGTAGGTCCCTAGCTGTTGTTAAAGAATGATTGACCGAGGTGGTCAGGTTTCTGATCAGCGATTCCTCACGTAAGTCAATTTTGAATGAATCAGATACTAATGCTTTCGTTGTTAGAATAGTATCTGTTTTTTTACAGAACAAGCGTTGAGTTAACCAGAGAGTAGCCCCACTAGTGTGGCACGGACTCTCACTCCTGATCCATCCTTAAGGATGGATCGGGAGTGAGAGTCCGTGCTAACCAGAGATTAAGTTAAGTACTAAGTAATACTGTTAGTGTTACGCCCCAGCTATAGCATCAGTTCCAATTATAGTTGGGCCCGTTCCAACTAGAGTGCTACAGTTGGGCCCTGGTTGCACAGGCATGTCTACGGGCCGACCCAAATACAGCAGAGAGGTCCTGTGTGCATGATGTGCCCAGCATGTGCCAGTCATATTGTCAACAAATGTCATGTCATCGGTCATAGGGCTAGATGAACAGATGAAGTGCCACATTTTAGATGAAATGTGCCAAGTGTGAGACATATTGACTTGGATAATGTTGAGACATTTCCCACAGACATTAGTCAACAATAGTTGGGCCAGCCCAACTGCAGCACTACAGTTGGGAGTGTCCCAACTATAGTCTGATCTGCCCCAACTATAGTCTGATAGGCCTTGTTGAGACTTATGCTATAGGCCTAGTTGGGGTGTAAGAATACTAATGTCAGTGGATGTGCAGGCAGGCTCTAGTCTAGTCTTGCAATAGACATTACGCACTAGCTCCTGCACGAGGGATCAGTGCAGTAAATAATTATGTGCAGCTGCAAGGCTGAAAGTTTTGCTTCACAGAGCAATTCAACCATTGCCAACCAAAGCTGTCCACAGCAAGTCCAGTGTCAGACCAGCATGGAAGCCTGTGTATGAATGCTTGCATCAGAGGGATTGATTATGAAATGTCTTTTGGTGTCTTTCAGGTTCACTGTTTCTGCTAACCGGTAGGCCTAGTTTGTTTTCAGCAAAATGTCTGAGGAATTTGTCAACAGAGTCATTAAGCTCGGTTCACAGACATCTGGAAGGGACAAGTTGTACAGGTAAAAGGGTGTTGTTCAAAGTATAATTCTGTTGCTTGTAATGTTGCTTTTGGCTCTTCGTCTGGTTCTGAAATGCTTCGAAGACATTTTGAAATTGTTCTGGCTGATTTTTTTGATGGGAAACTGGTTGTGGATGTAACAGGGACATTAAGCCATTTTCATCGATTTTTGCTAAAGTTGATTTTTTTTGGCTTCAGATTCCACCCAAATAACAACATGTAACTTAGATAGAACACAGCTACATTGTAATCATTCCTAAACTTAAATTTTGGAAATTTGATATGACATTTTTACAGGCACTCCATGAAGTCTGCTGGGTGACACCAAATTTCACAAACTGTAACATTGGCCCAGCCCTGCCAGATGCAGCACAGTGCATGGGGTGAAAAATATTATGCACCTTTATGCAATGGGCAATCAACAGCAGCCAAACAAACTGGCCATGTTGAGACAATGGGAGCTAGTCTCATTGAACAGTGCCACTGTTGGATCTTGTGGTGGCTGGCAACCACAGACTCCATCCTAGGCTGTTTGGCCTTGGGGAGAGTTGACCTGTAGGATCTTGTTACATTGGGCTGGAAAGCCACTTTGACAAATGATGCAGGCTGATGTGTCTAGCAGGGTTTTTTTTAGCCAAAGTAGGCTGGAAGGTGCTGGAGTTAGGGTTAAGGGTCAATGGACAGATTTTTTTTGAATGCTACCAAAATCTCACATTAAACTCAAGAAATTCCGTCCATCTGTGTTGTTGAGAAAGTGGCAGTTGGCTCAGATGGAGCATTACATCACTGTGCAAAAAGACCGGCATTTACATGCACATGCACTCTCTGTTAAGTTTGCTCGTGCTCAAAAAATGATACAAATGGTGATGCATTGTTCCTCAGGACTTTCCAGTATGGGAGTAAGTTCTTGGGGTGGTGTCTGGAGCAGGGAAGTGGTGACCAGGACTTGATCCAGAAGATCAAAGCATTGGAGAGAACGCTGAGTACCAGTCGGAAATGTGAGTGAATCAATCTGGTGATAGGTGCATTACCCAGGTATGATGAAAGGCTGAACACAAGGATGTTAGCTAGGTCATCCAGCCTGCCAGGTTTGCACTAAATGGCAGATCTTTCAAAATTTTCTTGATGAGTTATTTCTGAATTTTGTTAATTCTAAATACGTGTCATTTCTAAAATTTGTAATTAAAGAAACAAAACTTTTTTCCACTCACTTTTAAAATTTTTTTCACAAGTTATTTTTGATTCTCATTAGCCTTCAGTCACATCTTTGATTGTTCCGATGAGTTTGCCAAGAGGCCCTTCGGAAACTCACCAATAAGTTGACCCATGTAGTGATCAATGATAACTGATACAGTGCTCTGTCTCTCATGTAGATCAATCGGTAATCTATCAGTTGTTGCTTATTTTCAGTGTTGCGGCTCGGCAAAAGTTTAGACATGCTAACTGGTGCTCTGAAGACAATTCACTTGGAGGACACATTTCTCCAGGTTACCATTACCCTGTCAAAGCTGAATCAGGCCTTGTACCTCCTGATAGATCATGCTTTGTGGGCTCACCGTATCGGTATTGTCAAGGCCAATAACGAGCGTCTGACCACCCTCTCCTCTCGATTCTGGCTGGCAACGCTCATCTTGAATCTCTCCCGGGACCTGTATGAGCTCATGAACGTTGTCAATAACGCCATCGATGTTTACATGAAACAGAGGGAACATCGCCACGGTGACTCGCCAAACGGAGATCTAGTTCGGGTGGAAACTAACTTGCAGTTCAATGAAAATGCCAGGCAGTTGGACGTGCTGGCGTTCTGTCTGCAGAGCAATAAGCCAATTGTGCTGGATCTAGTGAAAAATGCTGCCGACTTGTTCCTTCCGCTGTCAAGTCTCGGGTATCTTGCTATACCGGCAGGCATCCAGGGATTATGTGGTCTCATCAGCTCACTGGTTGGATTGGCGACGGTCTGGGATGCTAAACTCAAGCTACAACCCTAATGGCAGACTGGCGTTTCAACTCCTTCAAATTATATTCAACCTAATGTGGCAATTATATTGATTTCTTTTTGGAGATTTGTATATTTTTTTGTCTGAAAAATTATTCACATTTAATTTTTGACTAAACCCTGCCAACTAAATCGTTAAAATTATTTTTGTATGTGTATAATTCATTTTATAATTTACATAATAGCATTTTGCAAGTAACCTCTTCCAGTTAGTAGCCCTCAAAAATTCTTTTGCACAGGTCACCCACTTCTGATTTGTATCAAGTCCAATGTCAAATAGCAGTGGCCAGATTGTACCCTTTCCGATTCCTACAGAATCTTCAGAAACCTCTTAATGGATTTTGAAGGATCTGGGACGGTTCCAGGAAGGTTCTGAATATGACGTACATATACATGGATCATATTGATCAAAGTAGGTAATTTCAAAAAGAACATTCTCAAAGGACAGAGCAGATGCAGAATGCAGATCCAATCCACATTAAATGGTCCTGTTGTCTGAGTAAACACTTTGTTGTAACAGCCACAGTAAGTTGTGTGAACGAACGGGCATTACTATGTAATATTGATATTGTTGATTAGAAATGGGACAAATGAAATGAAAATTATATTGCAGCTAATCGCTGTCTAACATATTGAAACTAGGCAATACCTTTAACCCTACCCCTGTGCTCGTGCACTAGGGAGCATACTGAACCCAACAAAGTTCAACAGATACATGTACATGTAGGTCACTGTGCCAAACCTGATAAACTCCAACAGAATGAGCCCGTTGGTGTTTGACTGATATGGTATGGATGGGTCTATGCAGTATAGGATGACCTCCACTGAACAGTACCAAACCTGACAAAATCAAGCATAGTCCAACAATTGGTACAGCAAGCCGGGCACTGCACACAGTGACCCCTGTGTGTCCCGACTCACACAAAATCCACACCCTGGGGCCTTTGATACCAAGTCCAACAAAAGTAAACAAGAAATTCATTGGGTATGGTCCCAAACCTGCCAAAACCTAGCAAAACCTGCTGTGGAGGTGGGTGGATACTGGGCAGTTTGGGTCATACAGTATAAGCCTGTTGGGTTGTTAATGTACATGTACGTGTACATAGAAACTGGTATCTGCCAGGGATTTGTGATGTCACAGTTGGTATAATGAGTGGCGTGCCTTGTACCCAAGTCTCTGGGTGTAGTGTTTTGTTCCAGTTTGCATTACAGTCTCTTCAGTTTTCAAGCAGTTGATCTAGCGTTAATGTTGTATTGTAAGCGTGCACGTGTACAAATGTACATGTGAATCTGTACTTCCGTTTGCATGCATCACTTCAACACCATCATCATTTTTTATGAATTCCATTTTCAGACATAGTTAACTAACAAAAATTCACCTCAGAAAATGCTGAGATTTGGTAGTGTTGAGTACCATTATATTTGCATGTTAGGGGGGGGGAACACACTATGCAAGCACATGTACATATATTTCTGGGGAGGGAGCTAATGCTGTGTGTGGCAAGTAGTATCTTAATTTGCTCATTTTGTATTTGTTTTTAATTTATACTGTGTGGGTTCTTTGCTATGTTCTTTTTAGTTAGAATATTTATATACAACTAATGATACTTTGTTTCATTTTAGTTATCATTTTCTTAATTTTTTTAATCATGTGCAGGTCTTTTTATATTAATTTTAGTTACTATTTTTAACTGTGTAATTCGCTTACGAACAGGCGAGTCCGGAAGAAATCGTGCTATAAATTGAATTTATGTCTGTACATGTACTGGTAGTGCTTGCAATTTGTTTTTCCAATTTTTGGCCTGTCCTGTTCAGTCCAGATCTTTCCTGTTCTGTTCTGCTACTTTCCTAGGTTTGCTGATAACAGATAAGTTTGATTACACTGCACTTGGGGTTGGTGTGTGTAATACATGGGTAGGTATTTCACATCACACAGCAGAAGTTGACAGTCACCTTTGCAAACCAACCTTTGATCCCAACGATCAAAAAACTGAATACAGGTGCAGAGTGCAACTTGCCTTACCAATTACAACACAGCTTGGTGTTGCTGCTTTTATTCATTGAGCAATGTGAACATTCTTAATCTGTCATGATGCAGATACACAATGATTTTCCAGCATTTTGGCTGTGTGAATAATTCCTTCTTTCAAAGAAGAACTTGCAAGTCTCTTATGGCCAAAATCCCGTAGCTTATACATATACATTTGTTCGTTAACCACGCACATCTCTCTGTAAAAAGCAAAATGCAGGTTAATATTTCTGACAGAACTGAAATGCGCGTATACATGTGTGTTCATCAATGAGTCACAACATGCACTGTAGTAAGTTATGACTTGCATTTCTTAAGCACAATTTGATAATTTTAGTCTGTCCAATGTTTACAGAGTGGTTGTATTTTACATATTGTAAGCGTATATGTAGCTTTTATATGATGGAGACATTTTATAAGAGGGCGTAATGGTTAACCAAAAAATTATGCCTTATGTTGCAAATGAATGACAGTAGTTTATTGTACAGTTGGCAATTCCAAAGAATTATTAATAAAATGATTATATATCGATGGATGATCCATGGTTTTCTTCGGACTTCAGTAACCAATTGATCTGGAGTAATTAATTCATGAGACTTTCGTTCAGTCCACTCCAGAAGAATTCAGTGAGCTCTGACATATTTACAGGATATTCATGCATTATTCGCGGCATGGAAATACGAGCACTTCCTGAATACATGCAACACATTAAGAAAACCTTAAAACCATGTAATTACAGGAGGGTGATTTGAAAGTGAATGTTACTGTTTAAAGCTACCATTAAAAAAAAATTGTTTACCATTTATTCTGAAGAAAACAAGACCAACTATAAAAGTTAATACTGCAATGACTAATTTACAGCTGGACAAAAACTCCAAACAAATGGCAAGTTTGCATTATGAAATTCCCCATCCACCCAATAAAATGAGTGACACTGCAGCACGTTGTCCAATACTGATATGCTTAGCTTTGCAAGGTGAAGGCGCCAGACTACTGCTGGTTCAACTATGTGTGCCTATCCATCTTGAACAGCAGCACTCCCACATGGGTTAGAAAGAGCCATGTTGGTCAGGGGTGTTCATTTCACTGGTAGCCACCATAACTGTAACACGTGCATTTCATGGTCGTTTGGGAACCAGCAAGGTGCAGTTGCCACCAAAGGGGCCTCCGTTGCTAGGAAAAGTGCACCTTCTTTTGGCCTGGCTCAGGGCTCATACACAATTATCTTCAAAACTCGGCTATTTAAACATTTCTTTTCTTAAACCATGTCTGTACTTCTTCATTCAACAAACAGGTGGAATGCCCACCCCTTCTCGAGTCCTAAATTTCTTTTTTGAAAAATAATGAAAGGCAATATGTTTGGCCTATACCATTTCTTTTCCTTCAACAAGAGTGTAAAAGGGTCCAAACTGTAGCCTCATCCCTTTGAAAGACCATAAAAGGTTACATGAAAAATTCCAACACATCTGTTGGAACATGCTTTTTACTCTTGGTCACTAAACCACATCCTTGAAAAACACACCAACACGAGTTGGGAATGCCACAATATTCAAAATACAATTGTGTCTCGAAGTACAGCAAGTAATGCATGTGTGTCTCTCATACAATGTACATGTACTAGTGAATCAGGAAGGTTTGAAGTTATTTTTAAAGACCAAAATTACAAATTTGAAGCAAATGACCTGTACTGAATACCTGCTTGGTGTGCACTACTCAGGCCAGTTTCCAGCTTAAGTAGCTTGGAAACTCCTTTTCTTTTAAAATAAAGCTTCCTCCAGACACAAGACCAGAAAAAAGGGATTTTTCATGCCTGAAAAAGTTTGAAAAAACTTAAATCATATACATGTATACACAAGAACAAATTAAGACAAATTCAGAAGTAATCTTGAATTTTAGCTAGTATAATTTAGACACCGCTCAGAAGTCTGTAATTTTGCATTCCCTCTTTTGTTATTAGTTCCTCAAACTGGATCAATATTCTTATTTAATGCACCTTTTGGACACACATATATTTTACAATATTCGCTTGCACTGCATCACAATAAATTAAAACCTATGGAGGGGCTGGGTCTATTTACAGAGGACAAAGAATCAGCTATGGATCAGAGACCCTGAACCACTTCGTGCCGGAGACTCCGGATCCGGACACGTATGTTTTATATTCGTGGCCGGGGTCTCCGAACTCGGACAAAGGGAACAGGGCCTTGTAACAAAAGACCGTACTCGGAACAAAAGACCAGGCTGCTGGGCATTACCGACATTTTTTCACTCTCAAAAGTGGAAATAATCCAGCCTTGTTTTGAAACAGTATACCATGGTTTGGGGCATTTAGAGTGAGCGGATTTCCACAGGGGACAAAAGCGCTCCACCACCACAGCAATGAGCCACACAGCACCGCTGCATGCTAATCTGGCCCCTATTGAAAAGAGGTCAGCAGTGCACTGAGCCAGGTTCGTGAACAAAAGAATATTATGTAACACCACAAAATCTGGGCTCTTTTTACAAGGCTGCAGGCCTGGCTGAAATACTCGGGCGTCAACAGATTTTGTCTGTCAGGATAGAGTGGACACAAGACATGCCACATGTTTGTAAGTGACCAGTAAATGAAGATGAAGATAGGAATTTTTAAAGAATTTTGAAAACAGAAAAAAAAGATAAAAATCCCACCCTAGCATCATCAACATTGATAAATGCCCCGGCAGGAAGTGGTTAACATCTCTGAATGAAGAGATGATAATGTGATTATGTTTATCTCTTCTATCTCTGAATGAAGTTAAAAGTGATAAAAATTAAATCAACAGGCCTTTATTTTTGAAAACTACATTTCAGACACAATTCAAGGCCCAACTTCTCTGAATTCAACTTATGAAGGACATTTCTTTGTACTTTTCTAGGGAATAACGGCTTATACATTTACGACACTTAAAGTTATCACTGCCAAGTTTTGAACAGAAGTGCGTTGTTCGATGGTTAAACCTTTCCTTTTCCTCTTCCAAATGTAAAATGCAAACAAAATTTTAAATGAAGGTTTGCTGCATAATATAATGTAATGACCAACCTTGTTCCCAGTGCCTTGTGTAATCTTGACCCCCTTTTTTGCCATTGAAATATCCATCTTTCTTCGACACTTAAATTAGGATGGAAGGCCTAATGTCATTTGTTAATTGTGAATGTTTGTTCGCAGAATAAATCCTTCCGCCCTTTGCTCAAATTTAAAGCACAAGTTCCAAGTATATCTGGCAAAAATGAGGCTTCCAGGTGACGGAGGCATCTCGATCTTTAGCAGTGCCTACATACATTAGCAGTACGGCCAAGAGTTAACACCAGAACATGTAGTGTGCAGGACCTACAGTATGTATTTACAGTAAGAGTTAGTTTTACACGTATTCTGAACTGCCACTCAATATTGTTTTTTACTCTACACAGCCAGGTGCTTGTGAAGATAGACGCTCGCATCATGGTAACAAGGTTGAATATTGAAAGATTCTACAAAGAGAAGTCTTCAGAGAGATTCCACCTCAGTCAAGACAATAGATGTGTGGCATTTATGTATTGCAAGCAAGAACACAAACACAATGCGATCAAGCAAAATCAGTTGTTTGTCAAATTTTGTCAAAGAAATGTCTCAGAATAAAATTGCCAAAATCAAATCTTTTCAATGTTTTGACTTCACTACTGTTAATCCGAAGTTGGGAATGAAGTCGACACTGTATACTTTATAAAGGAATGAAATTCCACAAATTGACCTTGGTCGACAAACAAGTCTTTTTACTTGATGGCATCACAGTCACATTAGAGTTGCTGCCAACAGAAGGGCCTCAAGTGCATTTGTTATATTTCATGATTATCCGCAGTTGCTGGCACTAAGCAGATGTGTAAGAAGTTATCGGGATGGCTTAGGTGTTCGCTCAACCACTGAACTGGTGTGTCTAGTGGAGATTCGATGCCTTGAATTAAGACTTTCTGTTTCGCTCCATCTGCAAATAATGTTGACAAATAAGAAAACTCTACTGCCTTTTTTGGAAACATTATGTGACCATACTGAAATCCAGAGAATCCTTGAAGAACAGAAGTAATGTTGTATGCTAACTTAAGTTTCCAAATTGCTCATAAATTGTTTGCAGCTACTTCACAAGCCCTTTGATTTCACTCAAGCATAAATTGAGCCTCCTAGGCAGTTAATGGTACAGTCCATCACTTGTCATTAGTCCATTACGTTCCTTTGAGGCAACAAGGGTGATCAAACTCTACAAATTTAACTCTTATTTTTCGGGTAAGCCGGCCAAATTCAACAAGACTGCTTTTCTGGCAGGTCGTCTCTTGTGAAAATAGTGCCCTCTACTGTTAGTGCTATTTGGCTGTGCTTGCCAGCGCATGTCGCCTGCACGGTGCATGGGCCAAAACAGTAAAACCAGTCTTGGGGCATGACTACCTGAGCTTCTGCAGCTGTCTGGCTCCGCCTCCTCCAGTAGGTGTTTCAGCAGCAACGGCTCCCCTTGCTCCGTCACTGGCCGGAACAGTTTCTGAATGTACATGGTGTGGGGCTGTGAGATTTCCAAAAAAAAAAAAAAAAGTCACGAGTGCTTCTTACCATTGTAGTCATACCATTTGGTGAAGAGAAACGGTTGGATGAGTGAGGCTATCATTACTAGCATGCAGGTCCAGAACACACCTGCAGATGGCTGAACAAAAGGGGGCGTGTTTTCGCATTCCAAACCAGAAATAGGTTTGTGACATCAAAGCGATAACTGGGAACGAGTTAAAGGTAGCCCACAAAAGTGCAGAAACAGAAACGTTATGCCATCCAAGTGAGATAAAAAGGACATGGCCTGAAGGCTGTAGATGACATAGATGACAAACGTCACTTTCAATCAACATTTGGAAAGTTTCTAACAACTACTTCTCTCCAGTTTCATATTTTAGAAGAAAGAACCCATTTTAGTTTGCTACCTGTAAAAAATAAATTTAGGGATACATAATCCAATTGTTGTGGGGACCAAGAAAAAATTGTCAGCTTATTTTCAGCCATGTTGAACTGGCGAGGAACCAAGTCTAACCTTCGGTTTTTTGCTTAGTCAGCACAATGATATCAAACAGGCAAAACTTTGGTTGAACGAATGCCCAACCATAGCAGAAACACGTTTCTGGTCACAGTCTCGAAAACATGACTCTGAATAAATAATCCTGAAAATGCTGCACTGGCATCCCAGCTTGGCCAGTTTTTCGTAGAACACTAATCAAACCTTGTTTCCAATCACTGTTATCATCCTCTACCCTGACAGTAACATCCCCCCCCACACACACACACACTGACCAAGGTAATTACAGCATTTGTTCTTACCTGGTAAATCTTGAAGGGAACAAACTTGAATGGTTCATCTGATATCCTCTCCATCAGCCGACGGTTGGTGGCCCAGAACTGGTCAAATTTATCTGAAGATGTAAACCATCCCCGAGTACATTCAGTTTCAATTTTTTTCCTGGATTAACTCTCCTTTGGTTTTACAGCACAAATATGCACAAGTGCCCAAGGTCACTCTCTTGCATGTTGGTGCAGTGCACAACACAACACAGCTGGGCTTCTTTGAGGTGTTTACCAAGTGACCCAAAGCGTGACTTCAGCATAGGAGGGTTAACCCTAACTCTCAGTGGGTTCAAGTACTTTCCCCTTATGCCTCTTCAGGAAAGCATTCACGACTGTGTTTGATTTGACACTAAGTCGACTGAAAATTCCCAAACTCAAGAATCGGCGTTGACTTATTCCTGGCTTGTGGGTAGTTAAAGGAGGAAAATATAAAGAACTGACCATTCTGGAGACCTGTCCACAGCTGCTTGTGATCCTTCTTCTGCATATTGCTGATGACGTGGCTCTTGTGTTTAAGAACGTCAGCCTCTTTAAGGCAGGACATGTAATGGGCCTCTATCACGTCTTTGCTCCTACAGCGCAGGATGTCTTCCTCGGGGAAATTCTGTTGACAAATTATCAAGGTGGGTGGGCTCATGTTGCACAGGGGAGTATCAGAACACTGTTGAATCTGGTGCACTACACTGAGCAATGCTTGTGTCGGGTGCAATCGGTCGATATTCGCGATCGCTTGACCTTTGCGCTATCGGTGGATCTTACGGATGACGCATAATTTGTTGATAATTCCACCATCAGCCAATTGCTTTGTCTTTCTAATCCACAGTTTTGAAAGACTGCTTCAGAAAAGGGAAGCAAAGTTGATTTCATGGAGCATTGTCCAATCAGGTAAGGGATCAATCACTTGGCGACTGGTCAGTTGGCGGGGATGACAAGTGATGTGCGGTCAAATGAAAGAGTTACATTTCTCGACACAAACAGGAGTGCATCTTGTGTCGGTGCTAATTGGCGATCTCAAGGATGGACAAGTTGTCACTGCACACACCGACCAATGAATCACATCAGCTTTGATGCAGACTTTACAAAGACTGAGTGGGTAAGGCCGAAAGACCCTTCTCACAATGTCTACCATTTGTGTGGGCAGCCAAAGTTTGCAGAAACATCAGCCTAGCTTGATGTCAGATTTAACCTCAAAATGTACATTTACATGTACCCCATTACCTGTACTTTTGAAAGAGATTGCATTCTTCACAACTATCAGTGCTTGTTTCTGTTGTTAAGTGTTATGATAGTGGAGTGAGATTTTTTACCACTTTATAACTGAATGATTCTTTTGCTTTTGTTCTGACAGCCAGAAAAAGTTTTACCAGCCCCCCGTAGGCCGAAATGTAACTGTGATGTAACTATGCACTTTTCACAAGAAACAGCTACTTACTTTGGCATTTCTACAAAGTCCACTGATGTGTCGCTTTCTGGAAAGTTCTCAGGCTACATGCTTGCAAGCTACAGTGCCTAAGGTACTTTGGAGGAATCGTCGGTTTCACAACCAAAGTGTGCTACATAGAGCTTCTTTTGCAGAATCCTTGGTTTAATTGCCAGAAATACTAAAAAGTGATAAATTTATTAAACCAAAGAGAACCCCGAACCAAACAGAGCTCCTTTAGCGAGGGACATGTATACTCACTTTGAAATGTACCGTGATGTTCCATGGAAGGACGATACCGTGCGCATACAGGTCAAAGAGAACTCCTACCGGGTAGTGCCTGAAGACGGATGACACAACAGGAGAGACACTGGTAAAATATTAAATACTTATCAAAGCTGGCAGTCTTTTAAGAGATACAGTATTGTAGAGAATGGAGAATCAGTAATAACTTCAACGAAGTTTACACACCAACGTGGCTGTTGTCTTTGCCCACCTGTTACATCAGCTACATTAAAACAAAACCAGGCCGTGTCCGAAACGGGCTTCCAGAGCTACGGCTAGGTCTATTGTCTACGCGTCTCCACACATTTTCAACGGAGGGAAGACCTAGACCTAGCTCTAGACAACTGATTCGGATGCAGCCTCAGCATAAATTTTTAAAAATATGTACTGCACTTTTTAATTTGTCGTAAGAGTTTCTTAAAAGAATATCATACAGTTTGCCACATTCACGACGTTCGTCACTTTCATGTTAACTAACGGCAATTCTTACCACTTCAGTGGCTGCCCTTCATAGTCAAACCACATTTCGTCCTCCTCTGTCACATCTGTGAATTTCTTGAAATGTTTCTGTACCTTATCGGTAACCAGTGTGATGTAGGTTTGCCTGGATATGAGCAGCTAAAAAATAGAGAGTGTCAAACAAAGTTAGTTGCACATTTGATGGCGAAAGTCACATGCCATCCTGAAGTCCTGGCTTTCAGAAAAATAACTAAGGTGAAAATAAATGCTATAAGGGAGTTGAAACAGAAAAAATGTACAAGTAAAAAATTGTAAGGATTAAAAAAAAGAATTGACTGGAGCAAGATTTAAACCTTTGACCTCCGGAAGGTTCGAAGGTCACAGGTTCAAATCACACTGGGCTCAATTTCTCTGTTCATCTTTATAATCAATACGTACATGTAAGCACTTTACTTAAGACCCTGTATGATTTGTTTTGTGTTTTGCAAAAAAAAACCAAAACCCTAAAACCAGAAGTCAGATTTTTGCCCTTCCATAAAATGGAATGAATGTTCAATAATCAGTATTCTTCTTTAACCACTGGAGGCTAGTTGTGCCCAAGCACTCTCAAACACATTTCTATAGCCAGACACCATACCGCTTCTGGTGCCAACTGAGATTGGTCATCCTGTAATCAACTCTCATCAACAAAGCTCAGCACAAACTCACAAAGAATAGGTCCGGTTGCTCGGATGTGACCTCGTCACTGGCCAGGGTGAAGCAGACGGGAATGCGTCCCTCCCACACCTCTCGTAGGATCTCTCTGTCATCTGCCATTTTGCCGCAGAGGAAGCGCTTGTCAGGTAAATTCCTTGGAGAAGATTATTTCACCTGCAGAAAAGCAATTACATTGTATTTTAAAAGATATGAGCATGACATAAGCTTTTCTTTTTGTACTTGTACATATTATTGTACATTTATTTGTTTTAATGTACATGTAAATTGTATTCACAATTCTGCCCCTGGCGGCGAGGAATACAGTTAAATAAATAAACCATTCATAATAATAATAATAATAAGCACACAGTGTCATGGGCGTCACCAGGACTTTGTCCAGGGGGCAGAGTGGTCAAGAGAGTAAATAGACAGACCATTCATTGTGCATTTAGACGCCAATTCTGAGGTGTTTCGAAGCAACTTGCTAATTTCTAACCCCTTTGTCTCTGTTTTTTCTGTTTCTCTAATTTTGTCCCTTTTCCTTCATCCCCCTTTGTAATTTGTCATTTTTGTCCAGTGGGATAAGCATGCGCCCTCCCGGGCCACCCAAGCAAGATGCCTAACTGCCCACACACAGCATACAATTTTCATAAACTGAATATTCATTAAGTAACACCTGCAAAGAGTTTCATACGTAGACATCACATGACACCCTGTGCACAAAGAGAATGAGCATGAGACTGCTCTAAAAATTGTGTTTTCCAAGCAAATGCTTCATCATTTTCATTTCTAAAATTTGACCTTTTCACTTTCTCATGGCTTATAAATCACCGCCAACTGAAAGGGATAGTAGGTGATGTCTATACAGCCCGTTTCCGGAACACCTCCTCCTTCTGTGGATATTGTAACATCAGTATCCCTATCACCCCTGATCAAGACTGGACCACAGAGGACAGGCGCAGTCATGATCTGGGAGCAGCTCTGTACTTTTACATGCAATTTTGGGGCATTTTCAAAATTTTGAGTTCACAACTTTGCGAGCATCAATAGACAGTACTGTAGTTCAAAGAGAACACAGTTTGAGGCAATGCTTTGGTGGGAACTAAGCTGGTCTGGCATTAGGCTAATTGTGACAGTCATGGCAGTATACATCCATAGACAGGTAGTTAAGGAGAGAAGACTTGAACATGTCCAACTTTTATGTCATTTCATATTAGGGAGTCAGGTTGGTAAGGTAGTTCTTTCCTCGCCTTCCACCTCTGTGGTCCCGGGTTTGATTCCCGGCCCGGTCCACTTGTGGATTGGGTTTTCAGTCTCTACCTGACTCCGCGGGTTTTACCTAGAATGTTCCTCTGGGGTTTTCCTCCCACCTCTAAAGCTGTAACTGCTTCTTACTGTCTCCCCTTTACTGTTGGTGAATGTGGGTCGTTTGGCGGCTACCCAAGGTGCCCTTGTATGCCATCGGCTCAGCCATGTTTAAATGTATTCATTGTTCCACACTTAATGTCTTTATTGTACAGCGCATTTGAGCATATCTTTATGATATTTGCATTTTATAAATGAATAAATTATAAATTATTATATTAAGCTTGTGCCGGCAAAAATCATTTAGCCTGCTATACGTACCGGTACACTGTGCCCTCTTTGATGTGTATATATGTATGAGTACACCTACAGAGGTTATTAAATTATCACTAGATACGAGTACGGTCTGTGGTCTTGTGTGAGACCACATGAAACACTCCAACTAGCTAGGTTTGATTCCCAGCAATCATCCCTTTTTTTTGTCCCCAAAAAGTGAAGAGTTGGGTAACTGGGGGTATTTTTGACCAGAGGAGAAGTCAATCAGCTTTATACAAACACTACACATCTGGTCGAATTTCTCACTGTTCTTACGTGGTTGAATACCCAGGCTCAGATAACTTGACCATTTGCCAACTTGACTTGGAACAACTCAACTGTTTAGACAACTGAACCATCTGTGCCTCAAATGGACAGACATTCGACCATTGAGACAATCATCGATTGAGATAATTGACTTGTAGTGAGTGTGCTTGCGTTCCACAGTCACATCACCATGCACTTTTTCTCCAAATTAAAACAAAAAGAAAAGACTGAGACAGATTTACCATCTCCCACACTGGTAGACTAACAACTGATCATTGGTGGGGCTGAGATGCCTGTGCACTGTGGACTGTGTGCCGCGCCATTGTGCATGCTGCATCACAGTTGTGCTGGTTGGGGCAGCCAACATGTTGTACACCAGTCCTGTGCATGTTGCTTTACCGCATCCCTAGCGCGCCATACATGGTGAGTCCAGTTGCAACATAATGTGACACCCGCAAATTTGCCCAAACACACAATCTGCAATCTGTATTAAATGTCCAAAACTCTGTCGCGTTCACACCTTGAACAGTCGAGTTGTCTTAATGGATGACTAGGTAAACAGTCAAGTTGTTGTCCCATTGATCCAGTTGTCTCACCGGTCGAGTTGTCTCGAGTGGATTTGAACAATCGAGTTATCTGACATCTGAATACCCCCGCCTTTACTGGTTCTTCTTTTGTTACTGTTTAAATTGACTCCAACAGAGTTTTGCTTTTTCTTGTTCTGATTTGTGATGACATTTTAGGAAAAAAATTCCCTCTCCTGGATACGAAGTCATGACTAAGTTGGTGCAGAACCAGAGAAAGTCCAAAACCAGTTACTGCGCATGTGCCCAACAAAATATGGGGTCCGACGTCCACTGGGAGTGGGGTGGATGTTGAACGCCACAGTTCTGGGGCTAGTCAGGCACCACTGATCAACCGCAAAAACTGTGAGGTTCAGGTTTGTCATCAGCTGCTGCACTCCCTTGTGGGAGCGCAGAGGATGACGAACCCACATTTCTGGATAACCATTGACCGTCATGACCATCGATCACTGGGTTATCATCACACATTTTGCACGCCATGGATTTACCTACCCCCAAATCACGGGAACGGCATGGACATTGGACCCACAGTTCTGTGGGTAGGGTTTACAGTGTTTTCATTTTACGCAGTGGCTGTTGTTACGGCAGCCGTAACGCATCTCCCATTCTCTATCGTTACGGCACTGCAACTTTATTTCCTTTAAAAGATCTTCCAAAGCCTCTGATGAGAAAAGAAAAAAAAATTCCTGCTTAGGCCTACACAATTAGAAACCAACATAAAAAACAGTTATGGTATAAAACATGAAATTTAGGGGAAAAAATAAAATAGTCCAAGCGCGGATTCGAACTCACACACCAGTATTTCCAAACCTTCTACCTTGACCACTCTGCCAAAAGTGTTCAGCAATCCGAGCAATTTTAAAATATATAAACAGTCGTGATGATCAGCTATGTCATTGCACTTGCGCAGTTCAGTGCCGTAACGATAGAAAATGAGAAATGCGTTACGACTGCCCTAACGATAGCCACTTCGTTCATTTTAGGCCTGCCCTCAAATTACTTGTCCTAAAATTACCTCAAGACTATTCAAGGTTTGGTTGATCGAGTGACACTACTGCAACTGACAATTTTCCTGCTGTCGTTAGCCTCAACCATGTCAAAATGTCCAAAACAGTTCCATCATCACGTCAATTCCAATGTCAACAATGTTCAAACTCAAAACTCACCCTGATTTGTGTGATCATGGAGGAAGCCTAGGCCTAAACCAGATATGCCAGTGCCAAGTTTAATGCCATAACTCGTGAAAATACATTCTTATTCTTACCTGAACTCTGAAGTTAAAAGCAGAACTAAAGTGTTCATAACTTGGTCGTGGAAGCAGCCATCTTGACTAGCGCCCTCAATCCAAAACAAAAACTACACCCGCTCCGAGCTCCTTTTGAAGACGATTATCATATCAACACGTACATGTACATTCAGAAGCCGCAGGTACCCGGAAACGCAAGACAGGTAGGCGGCCGTAGCCACGTATTATTTTATTAATTATCCTGGTTATGAATTATTTTATTAGCCCAATTATTGAAGATCTGATAAACACTGATAATACCAGTACCACACACGTGGAGTAAAACAGCCTTTGCCTAGGCCTACTGTACTACTACGAGAACGGTAGGCCTACCACCTGAAACCCCAGAATTGTGGGGTCCGACGTCCGCCCTGCTCCCACGCGGGGCGGACCCCACATTTCTTGGGGTACCACCTGACCACAGTACCCCCAGAACTGTTCCTGAGAGACGGGCAGGGCGGATGTCAGACCCCACAGTTCTGGGGGTACTGACCACTTTATCAGTACCACCATAAGGGGGGGGGTGTTGGAGGGGAAGCAGATGGGGAAGGATTTTGTGGGGTTTGTGTATTGGAACCCTGTCAGTGTCTGTACATATAAGTAAATGGAGCAAAGACCACATAACGACTCTCATTTTGCTTTCGACTTATAAGTTATAAGGGTGGCTAAAGTGTGCAGAAAATATCACCCTCTGGTTAGTTTCTGATTTTACCTCCAATTCGTTCAAAATAGACATTTGTCTCATTGAATTATTTTAAAAATAGGGTTGTATTTCCTTTAAGTATTTAGCAGGCTATGTGCATAATTTATCTGGTGTTCTGATAGCTGTGAGGGATTTTTGACACTTTGTGAATTGTTCTTCAACTTCTGTACCAACACAGCCATGAGCCATGTTTTTTAGCAGCCACTTGTACTAGAAAACACAACTGCAACGTCATAAAAGCAGACCCTGTTGTACACGAACAACGTTTTTCATTGTTGGACTCATCTACACGTAGGCAAGTTTACAATTCTAAATTCACAAAAAAAAAACAACCTTTGGTTGCACTCTTTCTGGGACTGACCTGTTTTGTAAGAGTAACAAAAACAGAGGGTCCGGAAGTACAAAATCCCCGAAATTGTATCGATGACAAAAAATTTGACAGTCACTTTTAGAATAAAAAAATCCCTATTGCCCCCCCTACCTCCACCCAAGATACACCATGATAACGCATAAACCTATTCTGTGTAGTGTATTTACATAACACAGATTATTTGAGTAAAAATGGATTGCAAATTCCTCATTTGTAACAAAAGTGATTCTTTACAATGGTGACCGTGACAATTGCAAAACACTACAGCCAGTATTCAAATATACTTTTTCCAAATATTATGTAAGTGAATATCATTTCCTGAGTAAATTTAAAACATCATTAATCGTTGAGAATTTTGGATTTTACAAATAAACCTTTTTACATGTATCTTAATGTTTACAAAACTCATTCTGATAATTTTGTTACCGCGGTAATTTGGTGATTTGTTTTTAAAAAGCTGTATCCTCGTGAGTAATCCCTGTTCACCACTTCCTAGGTTGTACTGTGCATTTGGGCTGTGACCCCTAGCTATGGTGTTTCAGGTTACATGGCTTCTGACTATCACCCCATGTACATGTAGGGCAGGATAGATAGCTCAGTTGGTAGAGCACTGGTACCGTATTCCAGAGGTCACAGGTTCAAATCTCGTTCCAGTGGGGTGAGGAGGCGCATGCCCCCTCTTTTTTCACCCCCCCCAAAAATAAATAAATAAAAAGAGAAGAAAAAGAGGCAGAGTCTCAGCATTGTACCATTGCTGCTTTAGTTCACACCCCCCACTTTTGGAAAATCCTGGATTCGCCCCTGATCTTTACAAAAATATTGTTGTGTGACTTCAACACAAGCAGCTGCACTGGATGTTCATATGTTGAAGGACTGAAAAACTGAAAAAGAAGGGATAATTTTGTGCGATTGACCTGGAAGAAATAAGCCGACTGCATCATTTTTATTTGATGCTCATTTTGTTATACATGTACGTCATGTTTGCCGGGTTTGTATTTTGTTGTTTCGTTTGTATTGTCTTGTTTGTTTCTTGTAATGGCATGCCTGACACAAGCTCTGTTTTTAAGGTTTTGCCACCTCTAGTGACCTCTTTGATCTCATACATCGTTCGTACCTGTATTTTAGGAGGAAATAAATGTAATTTAAAAGACACCAACCTGAGTACAAATGCAGAAGTAGTTAGAGTTTGTCCATGAAATTAGATTATATCCCGGTACTTTACTCTGTGGTCATGTTGAAGTTTGCTCATTGAATTGGTCATGAAAACACTCTCCAGTACTGTCTAAAGCTGGGCTCTTTTCTATGAAAATTAGTTTGTTGACACAGAATACATTTACATGTACCCACAGTTATATTTATCATTATTTCAGTAAGTTGATAGTAACTAAAGAAATAACCTATATTTAAAAGAAGATAGCTATCGAGATACTTGTACATCTTATTGGACATTATTTTAATGTTGCTTCTGAAACAAATTTGACCCTCTGCAAGTCCTGAAGAGACTAGAATAAAGAGACACAGTCCTTGGTATTACTCCATTCAATACACCTCAACTGCTGCGCTGACAACAAGTCAGACGTAACTCTGCTTTGTAATTATTCTCAATACAAACCTCAAAAATTGGCCTTTGAATCCCAGCTGACCATTTCAGATTTTTGTGTCACTCTTTTGATGGGTTTTTTGCTGAAGTTTTGGGTTTGAAAAACTGTGATGTCATACATGTACTGGGAAAAAACTCCAATGTTACATCGGTTTGTGCACGAAAATCTAACTGAGTTGTTTTTTAAAGACTTTGCTGTCAAAATTTCTTTTCTTTGGCGAGTCATAATTGTGCAAGTACACTGGACATGTGCTAGCAATATGCAAGCAACCCTTCCCTCACAAATGTTTTCAGTGACTAAATTCTTGATTCATAATTTGAGCCGAAAACCCTAAGCACTGAACCATGGATTACATCCCATCACGTCTTCCCTGAATGACATCACAGCAAGCGTGCCCTCTGATGTCCAGGCAAGCACAGACAATTTTGTGTGCTTCTGTGTCTGTGTCTCGTTCTCCAGCGAAACGGCTTCAGCCGCATCCCGCTGGAGTTGGCGTTGTGAGGGGCCAGAGAAGCTATGGGGTAGTGGTGGTATGGAAGAAAGTCAGCTACAGTACTTTTAAATTGATCCGATTTAGGGGCATTGATAGGGGAGAGCAGGTTATTCCCAGTTGGGTAAAAGCTATTACTTTCGGCATGGCTACATTGATACAAAAATTGGTGGGACCTTTTGTGAATTCTGTTTTGCATGGTAAAATTCAGTTTTGTATGGACACATACCAACCTTTGTGGAATTTTATAAAGCACAACTAGAGGCTATCATGTATCTTCTTGATTCGAGGAGTGCATGGCTCACCAATTTCCCGGAGCATGGCAGTAACGCAGAGGTTCTGTCCTAGTTATTACAACACATTCTAGCCGCTGGTCGCTGTACACCCTTAGTACATTTAACCGAAAAGGAATCATTTCAAATATTTCTTATACTTGTATATTGAAGAAGGATCTACAGTTGCTCTCAGAATGATTCATAGTTGTTACCCTTTAAACAATGGCACAGTCATGACTCACTGGATTGCACATTGCCGAGGCAATCGGGTATCCCCCCAAGTTTGCAATGCCATGCCTCTTTGTGTAAATCCCAAGTTGGCACTTAAACATTCCATTAGAAAATAAAATCCTGGAAGTGTAAGTATCCTGATGTGTACAGTCTTCGTCCTTGTAAAAGGGATCGCTCAACCGACTCTGATGATTGCACATCATTGCAAAGGCCTCTTGGGTATTTCCTGTCAATGGGACACTTGACGTGTGCAATACATGTACGTCACTAGTATTGTAGTAGTAGCAGGAACTTGCAGTCCTCAGAATGAAACTACAGTACCATTGGTTGTCACACAGCCCTGCAGGCTTAGGATAACTGTTGTTATTTGACATGTGGGCGTCGCCCTGTGAGCTGATTCTGTTTAAGTGAAGTTTGTTCTCGATCAGTCTTGCTTGTCGGGCACATTCTGGGAGGTAAACATGGATTGTAGTGAAAGTGGACTGCAGAAACTTTTGGCCGGAACGTTTGGAAGAAAATGGAGGAATACCATTGGTACTCTGCCAGCTGGACAGGTATTTTGAGCAACATCATGTATGCATGTCCTCTGGTAGCTCTCTTCACAGTCGAGTTTGAAGTTGGTTTTCTTTCGTGTCAGCTTTCTTTCCAAAGATTTCACCTTAATAGTAGTATAAGCCTGAAGGTAGTTAGTGGGTTTTTTAATGTGGGCAAGGAAACCGAGCAAGGCACATGTATAATGTGATGGATATGTACATGTACAATACATCTGCAAGTTCTCCGTTTCTTTTACTTTAGATATGACTTTCAAAACTATGAGGAAGAGAGTTCTTGCCTTGCCGAGTGGGAAAGGCTTTATTGATTCAAACCTCTGTCAAGTTATTTATATTCTGTTGACCCTGTTTCTGTTATATTTTAGAGTGCATTTACATGTACGTGTACGTTAGGGTCTAGTGAATTTCGAAAAAAGTTTGTATTTTAAGTTCTGAATAGGCTAGGATGATGTTCTGGTGATATTTAAGACCTACCATATTGAAAAAAAAATTCAAAAAACCTTTGCCCGACATGGACAAATGGATTGAAATTTCTCCCCAAAGTGCTGATTCATGGTAAACCAGCTTGTTTTTGTCAAAAGGTTTTTCAGCTCTGGTTTCTTTTTTCTGTGGAGTTTTCTCCGGTTTTTCTTTGGTTTTTTAAAATAAAGTAAGCTCTGTTCCTTCAATCTATTTCTCCTTATAACTGCCCACTGAATGACTGATCCTGTAGTATGACCATCAGTTGTATAGGTTGTTTGTTGCTGTGTAACATGCATTGTCTGCCTTTGCAGTGGTCTACTTCAGGAACATAAATTTCAAGGTGATAAAGAGAGCACCTGCCCGCCATCCGACATTGACATTAAGGCCATCTCAAACCGAATAAAGTTATTTGAAAGTAGAAACTTGTAGATTGCCATGGTCATATTTACTCTACATGTATATCTCGACTTTGGGGTAACTTGCTGCAAGTGATATCCACCTTGCTCTGCAACAATCACAGTGGTTTTCTATGACTGACCTTGATTGGGCAGACTTTGTTACCAACCTCATTTTGAAAAAGAGATGCATCTCTTTTTCTGTCAAAGTACAAATGACTGATTTTCTCCTTCCAATCAGACTTTCACCATCGAAGATGTTTCCTTTCCCTTGCCATTCAGTGGTGATCAATTATTACCATCTGGTCATCTTTGGATACAATGTTGAAATCAATGAGCGTAGCGTTGCAACAGCTGCACAGGTTGTTACTGATTCAGTACCCGTCAAAATCTCGAGCTAGTTTTGCGTGTATTTGCTGTATTTTCACACAATGGTGGGGCTCAATATTATTGGCTTATTTACTGCTCTCAGTCTCGATCATCCTGCTCCTTGGTGAGGATGAAAAGCCTGTTTGATATGAAGTACATGTAGATGGCATGCTCCCTGGTTCCTTTTGGGGTTATTTCCTGAGTCATTATTCAGTCCTATATTTTGCCCATCTTCATTCCTCTTTGTTTGTTTTCAGCAAAAATGGAACTTCTTTTTCCGGAGCCTTATTTTTGTGACAATCCTAAGTTTAAATGGACACAATTGCAGTCTGTTTTGCAGCTACAAGTATCTCTGTGATGGATTGTGGTACAGTTGTCTCTACAATCTGGGAGATTGAAAGCTGCACATGTACATTTACATGTGCAGATTTCTAGAAATTTTTATAGATATGGCTCATACTCCTTGAATCTGTTAATTTTGGACCTGACAGCATCAGACAAATTTTGTTTGTACCAATTCCTAATGTTCTTTGCAACTGCATCAGCATTGGATGTTTTCATAGAAGCATACTGCCCAATCATGATCTCTTCAGTTGCCATTTGAGTATAAATCTCTCTCATCGAAAAGTTTATCTGTCGGGAACATTTCACTTCACCAGAGCTCAGTCTTTGTTTATTTTGAACTCAGTACTGTAGTCTATGAAAAATAACAGAGTTTTTAGTAGACCTGGTTCTCTCCAAATGGAACCATCATGAGGAGAACAAGCAGTAATAATTATTTTGCAAACTACGATTTAGTTTCTAAAGAGCACATGTGTAGATTGCATGTACCGATGTGCTCCTGTGCAGCCTTGAATGTAATGCTAAAGGCCATATGCCCAGGCGACCAACCACAAAACATCTGAATCAACCTTAGCAGGATTCTTTGGGCTTGTTTATTTAAAAGAGGGACAGTACATGTACATGTCCGTGTACTTCAAAGGGAACTAATGGATTCTACATGTACAAAACTTCCCAAAACCACATCCATATTTGACCCAGCTCTTTGGAAATCAGGCCTGGGAACCTAAATCTATACAAATTTTATACCTTAAATTAGTAAATGACAGATAAGATTGCTTATTGAGGATTTATTGCAAAAAAAATGAGGAAAGTGTACATGCACAATGTGACCAAAATGCAATAAAATGCAACTCACCATGACTCAGCACTTTTTAAGAGAAATTTCAATCCATTTTTCGGTTGGGCAAAGTTTTGAAAAATTTTTTTTCAATGTGGTGGGTCTTAAATATTGCCAGAACATCATTCTAGCCAATTCAGAACTTAAAATATGAACTTTTCTGATATTTACTACACCCGAATGGTACGGCATGTCACAGTTACTGAATCTTCTCTGTTTCACCATTATGTTAATTTATTTGCCACTGTAAGGTACATGTATGTGTACAGGTAGATCGTTGGTTGATATTTTGTAGCTCTCTCTACTGAATTTCCCACTTTCACTAGAAATTGTAGGATAACTTTCTTGTCTGGTATTTTGTCTGACTCATCCCAAAGCATGCACCGTGAAATTACTAGCACTGTATTTTGCAATGCATATTCCTGCATCTAAAGTTAGTTTTATGTTCAAAAATTGGGATATTTAACCCTGAAAGAGCTGGGTTATCTTGGACCCTCTCACACTCGCCCACCCCTCTGAAATCTCAGCTGTCCCATATCCAATTGAAAAAAAAAACTTGCCGTGCATGTAAAGACACTGCTTATCAATCCAAAGTGAGATTTCAGCTCAATGTGACATGCTGTATGATTTTGTTATGATCATTTGATTTTCAAGGGCACAAACATGCCAGCCTGCTTGTATTAAGCTCAGCTGTGGAAAAGTATTCATTTTGGCTGTCCTATTTTGGAAAAATTGGCACTGTGCGAGAACGGTAGCTTTGATTTCGTAAAAAGTGGCGTCAAAGCGACCACAACGGGTTGCTAAAAAACTCGTAAAGGCTAAGCTTGTGAAAAACAAGTACTGCTGCAGTATCAGAAAATATGTTGAGGGGGTGGATTCTGCCTCCCTCCCCCGTCTCTATTAGGGTTAATATCCTGCAGCTGTGTCAAATAAAGGCATATGGACTCGTCTCACAGACAGCCCTCTTTGTAGGAATATATGTAACAAGAGCGTGTGTAATGCCACCAAGTGCGTGTGCACACATGTGCAGCGTGTTCTGCCAGCACGTTCCTCAAAAAATCGTTGATAGGCCTACACGGCATAGCCGATGTGCGTCATGAAAATTGGACACTGAAAATGTTTACGCACATGACAATCTGTCGGAAGTGACGTCATTTGAGAGACTAATTTGACATGTAACCAAGAAAACATACATGGTTTGTGAAAGAATTGTTAAAAACTGCCTTGGATGCAAGTGTCCCTTTAGCCCCTCCCCCCCAAAAAAATTCTGGGTAAACCACTTGTCCACTGTAATCCATAGGCAGAACACGGGGGACAATTCCTTTGTCATTGTTGTGTTGTTTAACCATTCATTCCAGTGGAATGCATCCCATTGTGTCATGCGCAATGTTGAGGGTGGCTACTTGAATCGAGTCTACAGGCTGTACAGTAAGGATGACCAGACGAAATCTGTGTTCATTAAGCATGCTCCCCCATACATCAAGGTAATGCTCGCAGTCTACAAGGAATCAACTTAAAGTGCCCACTTTGACAATAATGCACAAATAATGATTGGTTACTTAAGATGGTCTTACCAAGTTGACAAGTCACAGTTTTCATCAATAAAGGCTGCTTCATACTAAGGCGAATGTGAAAGCAATGCAAATTTGATGTCACGAAAGATTTGCAGCAACTTTTCGCGCGAGCTGAAATGTGTTCAACTTTTGCAAATTTGCAAACGTCATTAGTTTCCATATGTGCTGACTTTCATTCCAAGCTTGGACCGGTCTTTAGGTTATCAAAAGTAAGGGAATACCCTCCTCAACAAAAAACCTACATGTACTCACAAACTAAAAATGAAGAAACAAACAGGCAAATGTGAACCAACATGTTACAGAAAAACCAATAACTTACAAGCATAGCAAATTAACAGAAAAATCAAAACTAATTACATGTACATGTAATCAATCGGTCATTTTACCACAGTGCCTGGGTTATGACCAACCACTTGGAGATCAAAGGATCTATCTGGAGTATTTAGCTCTCAGGAAATTTCACGACGTCCTTCCTGGCTCCGTACCAAAAGTTTACTTCCATGATGATGAGGCAAAATGTGGTGAGGATCCTTCATTCTACAAATACCTGAATCAATGTTTACGAGTGCTGTGGTAAGCATAATTTCATAAGGTGACAAATGAAATGTTCCATGAGGGTTTAACGGCAAAGATGTCACTTTTCAATTCCGTCTGCAAAACTAAGTGTGAAGTGGAAGCGTGAGCATTTCTAAAGGATTTCTGAGTCCAAGCTTCAAAGTTTTATTAAAAATTATTTTGATGAAGGGACTGCACAGTAATTTCCCAAGAACCTATTTTGCACAATTCTGACCCGATTTTATCAAACACAGTTGTCATGGAAGACCTGCGGGACTACAATGTCTTGGACAGGCAGTTGGCCAAAGGCTGTCTTGACTTGACCACGGTGAGACAACTCGCCAGCGTTACGGCCAAACTGCATCGGAAGACACATATCAGGACAACCTCACAAGAGGAGTTCCAGACAATGCTGGCAACATTCAGGTATGCTACCTTGTTTCCCCCATAATTGTGAGGCACTGCCCGAGAGCGCTGCTTACCGGAATTTTCTTGGACAGAGAACGTGATTTCTGAAAAAGACCCAACACATTGGCTAAATTTTAAACTCAAGTCTTAACAATACAAATACTGACTCTTGAAAGTCATTTGTATCCCATTTGCACTATACTGCTCACTATAAATACATATTTTGCAAACAATTCAGAGACCCCAGCATAGAGTAAAGACAGGCCTTGTGCAGTGGCCAAGTTCACAACAAGATCTGTCTCCATGGACTTATTGAACATAGTGCGCCAGTGAATAAAACCCAAGGACACCTGCTGCAGACTTGGGGAAAGCTTGACGAATAAGTTTGATGCATCCGCCTCCCCGGGCCTCTGCAAACATACACTGCCAGCTCGTGCATACCTGTTTTACGTTCAAAGTGTGGACATTCCTTTGTTCTTCTGTGGTTAAGGAAACTTGAGGATAATACTCCATTTTCTTCAATAAGGATAACTCCTTTGAGCTGTCTTTTTGATGATGATTTCCTGGACTGTTCCTCTTCATTTTGCCACAGATAACCTTGACCCCGACAATGAACACGCCGCTGAAACTGTTTTTCAGAGAGGGGAAATCATTGTGTGGATGTGTGCGAGTCCACACAACGCCATCACACCCTACACCCTACATTCTGTGGACTTCTTTTATGCAGAGGTCCACACTGTGTACTGTATGCCCTGCCTACACATGCTTGCAAAGCATAAACTAGTGAATAGGCTGTTTATATGTAAATTTGCAACAAGGAATAAGACACAAATTTTCCCAAGTACAGTAGGTGATGACTCAGAGGTGTGTTTTCCCATGAAACAGTGTGTGCTTCATTGTGATTACAGAAGCAAAACACACTTGTACAACTCAATTTTTAAAAAGCCGTTGATTTTATTTTAATGTAATTTATCCAACAGCAATGAGGAAATGGTGGCTTTGAATGTTGACACAACCTTTATCAGTGCGGTTGACCCCAACCACCCCGCCAATCGCTGTTCTGCTGAGTTGAAGGGACTCGCCGACAGCATCCGCAAGGACCCTGAAATCCTGCAGAGTTATCGGAGCCTTCACTCTGTCTACGAACAGCAGAAGGATTGCTTGACTCATGGAGACCTGCACCTTGGCTCTGTCATGGTGAATGAGTCCACTGTAAAGGTAGATCAAGTGTTCTTTTGCAACTTAGGGCTAAGCATCCAGCAGAGAGGTTGGATTAATGACAACAATATTATGTAGGGCTTAACATATACACGTAGCTACTTGTAACAAGAAAGAATTTTGAAGTGGAAAAAATATCTTAAAAACCTGAATGATTAAAATGGCTAATGATACTGAATTTTGTTGTCAAAAATTCTGCCATCCGGAAAAATCTTGAGTGGTCAAATTTCTGGCAACTCATTTGCACTAATTTTAGTACTTCCTGATTTCCTGGTTTCAATTGATAGCCGTGTACAAATCAAAATAGCATCTATGTGTACATGTACAGTGAACAACAAAATTATTCATACCCGTTATAAATCTTTGTGTTTTTCTAGGTGGGCACATAATATTGGGGCCATAGTTGAATAGCAGCCAGGTACAAATGACTAATAGTTTTTACCTCATTTGCATAACAAAGAGAATGTTACCTTGTTAAAATTCTGAAATGTTCAGAATTATACATGTGCATTCCCTTTACCTATTAATATTAAAGAGTTAATATCACGATTAACCACTTGTCTCCGGGGTTCTCCTTACTGTCTACCTTGGGTTTGTATGCATAGCCGGGGTAATCCAAATTGGACAAAAGAGCTGGACCTTGTAACAAAAGACCGTACTCGAAACAAAAGACTGAGCTACTGGGATCTGCCATCATTTTTCAGCTGGCATTAGCGGAGGTAATTCCGTCATTGTTTTGAAACAGTATACCACTGTTTGCGGCATTCAGTGCCCACGGATTATCAGCGGGAACAAAAGTGCTCCGGCACTCCAGGGATGAACGACACAATACCATTGCTTGCTATTCTGGCCACACTTGTAAAGACACCTCTGCTATTCAGCAACGCACTGGGCCAATTTCGGTAACAAAGGAAATTATGCAACACAATTCAGGGCTCTCTTTTCTGGGCGGCAGGCCTGGCTGCAATACCTGGGCGTTAATGGAGATAGCCTGTCAGATTAGAGTAGCTACCAGACAGTCATTCATGTGGGTGTAAACATCCAGTAATGAAGTTATGAATTTTTGAAGAATTTTGAAAACGGAAAATCTTGAAAATTGGCTTTGGCTTGGCCATAGTATTACCTCCACATTGTTAATCCTGGAACGGTTTTTTGACTTCCTTTGCTGTACGTTTAGGATCATTGTCCTCTTGGTACCGGTACATGTATGTCCAGTTGGGGCTGAGATGGAGATTTTCTGCAGACTGCTTGACATTGTCCTGCAGAACCTGGATGTACTACTCCTCCTTTATGATTCATTCCACTTGTCTGAGATTGTCAGGCCTGCTTGCAGAGAAACAACCCCACAACATGATGCTCCCACCTCCAAACTTCACAGTCAGCACAGTGTTCTTTGGGTTGAGTGTTTCACCTTTCTTGCGCCAAACGAAGGAAACATCCCCGTGGCCAAACAGCTCCATTTTCATTTCATCTGACCATAGATCTAATGACTAGAAACTTTGATCGTTGTCTCGGTGCCCTCTGGCAAATGGCACTCCAGCTTTTTGATGCCTGTGAGTGAGAAGAGCCCTCCCTTGTGCAGTGTGCTGCGGATTGTCTGCGCTGAAACCTTGGTGTCCATCTCACCCAAGTAAAGTGGTCCTGAAGTGCCTTGTTCTGGGGTGGGAAGGGCCTCGCAGCACACTTTCCTGACCAGACGAGGAGACATCTTTGGTTTCCGTCCAGGCTTGCTGATGTTTTCCACAGTACTGAACTTGTTGTACTTCTTGAAAATGCACTCTGTTTTCACTACAGTGGGAATTGGTGCTCTGAAGAGCTTGGAAATGGCTTTCCAGCCTTTCCCATCTTTGTGAGTTGCTGAGTTTCATAGTTTTTGCCATGTTCACAACAACCGAAGAAGATTCCATGATTGCACTTAAATTCATACTCTAGAAGCAGGATACGGATCATAACATTCCACAAATTAATTGCAAAAGATGGCATTCTCAACAGATTCTAGAGGATGTGTGCATTGTTGCATATATTCAACACATCCTGCAGAACCTTAGGAATGTCTGGAGCAGGTGCATTTCGGAGGAATGTGGCCAAATACCATGACATGCAGAAGGGTACGAATACCATTCTGAGCATGTCAGAATTTAAACAATGTAGCATTCTCTTTGTTATGCAAATGAGGTAAAACCAAAGCTGTTAATCATTTATACCTGACAGCTAAAAGCATTTGACTATGGCCCAAATATTATGTGCCCACTTTTCATTCTTTAGAAAAAAAACCAAAAAAACCTAAAATTTATTAGGGGTATTTGTAACAGTAGAGGGTTTTCCACCTGTTGGTACATGTACCTGTTGAAACATGCAGCATATTAATCCACAAGATCAACAGGAAACGGACTCAAATCTGAAGTTGACTTAGTCAACGATATGCATTTAGCTGCATGCTTCTACATGTATTTGAAAATCCATTCGTGAATCCATTGCAATTGATTTCAACACTGTATAACCATATGAAGCCAAATCTGACTTGAATGTGTGTTGAAAAGAAAAACGTATCAAGAAAGCCATCAAGTTTGAAACCAGCAGCCGATCCATGGTGAATTTTGTCATGAGACATTTAGTGGTTTCCTTGACTGCCTTAAATTCGTAGCTGATTGACGCTGAGTTTGCATTCATGGGCCCAGCAGCTGCAGACGTTGGCATCATCCTGTCAAACTTCATCTTCTTTTATGCTGCCAACACATTGTATCCCAGACAGGAGAATTCATCTTTTGACCGCCTCCTTCAGGAAGCAATCAGAGTCACAGGTCAGCACTGAACACTGACAGATACTCACTGCAGGCTTTCAATTGTCCTCATTCACAAGTCAGCCATATTGAATTGAAAGTGAGGTTATTATTTTTTTTTATTTTGACACTGGAGAATAAAACTGAAAGCACTGAAACAGAACTTCAAAGCAAATTATTGTCATTTATGCCAATGAATAATCTAAACTGGGTGATATACATGTAATATCTAAATGTTTTAAGTCACTTTAAAAAAAATGAAAACGAGGCATGTAACCCCAAATAGTTGGACACCACCCCTTTTAACAGATCACATTCGATAAAATACTAGTAGATTCAGGGAACACGATCAAAAATGGCTTCCTTGTGAATAAGGTCAATTCGTTAAACACATTGGTACACTTTGCCAAGAAGTTCTAAAAAAAAAAGAATTTCCAATTTCTGATGGAGATATGTCGGTACCATCTTTCACAATCCAGCTGAAATTTTGATTCAATAGTTTCTGTAATGAACATGTCCAGTGCGAGCCTTGAATTATGCAGCCCTTTGACATTCCATTGACAAACGGTCTTGAGAAATCTTCTGAATGCTGTTTTCTGGCATTTGTCAGAAAACAATGTTTCACACATGTACATGCATACTGTTTTACCCCAACGCAGTGGAAATTTACTTTGATGAGGCAAAGGAATATCTGAGTGAAGATGCCCTGGCCGCGTTAGTATCGCAGACAGCGGGATTTACTGGTTGTTACATCATCAAATGGTAAGATGCTTGATAAACTCTTAGAAAGGGCTACACTGACCAATTCCCAGAATTGTTATCTGAATCCCACAAATCACAGATAGAGAAAAAGGGGGATAATAAATGATAAAGAAGTTGAAGTCGGTAAAAAGATTGTTTAATACAAACAATTTTGAAACTTACTTTTACAGGTGGGTTGTTTGTGGAAATGGTAGCACTGATTTTTGGTCCTTTGTCACTAAAATTTCATATGAATGATTACATGTACTTTGATATTTTTATTTCAACTCAGGATAATTGGAATGGCAGAAGCTACGGATTTACTAGAGAAACCTCAAGCTGAATTGATGAGCCTGAACATCGGGGTACGCTTGATCAAAGAATACCGCATGATCAGGTCAACCCACGACTTGCTCCAGAGTATCTTTGACAATCAGCCGACGTAAAACCAACATTCCACCCTGCAGTGTTGGAGGTCTCAAGGCTGGCCTTGGCCTCCCGGCCTTGAGGCCGGTTTTTCAAAGCCTTGGCCTCAGCTTTACTACGCAATGACTCGGTCTTGGCCCCCTCTGGACTTGAAGAATCAGTCAAGGCCGGTTCAAGGCCGCCTATCTTGAGTCAGTTTTCTTAGCTTTTACTTCCCCCCTAAAAATTTTATCGAGACAGAGTTTACTGTACTTGCGACGTGCATGTGCTGTGGGCATGGATCATTTTTGTGTACAAACACATGGTATGGAACCTAGACTCCTCAATGACGCAATGCATCTGAATAGTTTTTTATTCCCAGGGAACATACTTCCATTGATTGTTGCACGAAAAGGATAGCTTTTGTGTTGCATGAATTAGGCTACATGTACTCATTGAAATTCTTTTCAGTTCCAGATTTTTCCTACATGTAGTTCTGGATCCCTTGAAATAAAAACCTACCTCTTATTTGTTGTTCTTCAGTTCTACATTCCAAGACAAATTGAGTTCTGCTTGATGAATCTTGTGTGCCAGCCAAATGTATGTTATATGTGTCTGTGTGTAATAACTGGCCTTGGCCTCGGACACTGGCCTCGGCCTCGAATGGCAGTTACTTGGCCTTGGCCTAAAAGGCTGCAGACACGACTCCGATATGTGATGCATTAAATTGTAGAGAATGGCTCTGTGACCAAATCTATCTACGACTGTTTTAACAATTTTTTAGATAAATGAATAAAAAAGTGAGGGTTATTGAGTGTTCTGTCAAGTTTGGTAGACAGCACAATGAAAAGCTTTCAACAAAGTCCATTTGTGTATTAGCACAAACAGGTAATTTAGGAGACACTTTGTGGTAAACTTTTCAACCTTAGGGAGACATTTCAGTGTCTCTCTAATGCTCCAACTACCAGGAGGAGGCCAAATTTTACCATCCAAATTTTGAGAGATGATAGACTAGGGTCTAAAATGAAAACATACAAAGTCTGGTTGAGATCGGATCAGGGAATATTGAATTATGGGACAGTAAAGTTGGAAAAAATTTGTTGCACATTCTTATGGGAATACCTCCCTTATGACCACTATGCCCAGCTTTGCCTCTTTTGGAAAGGTATTTTTAGAAGGGTTTTTAAAATGTCTTGTAAAACTCATGTGCTCATATTTTAGTGATAGATGAAATTATTTATTTTTCAAGATAAACACATTTATGGTATTTAAGTGTACTTAATCTTTATACAATTTTTTTTATTTGCATAGATAATCCATGGGCAATGTATCTCTATGTTTTAAGAGTAAGTACGTTGTATTATGTAAAACCCCTGTATAGTATTTTGTGAAAGCTGGGCAAATGTACCCGTAATTTTGCTCTCACTTTCCTTGTGAGTGTTCAAACTTAAATGATACTGCATTATTTCTTTGCGCCTGAAATAGCAGCAGCAAGCCGTACACACCTCAGGGAGCTGGGATGGTCTTACTAGGTCTGTTTACATCCCTGTTGAGAAGAGGTTATGATGTATCTCATGGCACTTTTATCATGTTCTCATATAAGTGTGCATTATAAGTAAATATTATCTTTTACAGTAGTGCACTATCTTCACGACTATTTCTTGCTTAAGTACAGTGCACCATGAAAATAGTTCAAGCTAAGTCCTTACCGTGTGTAACCATAACAAAAATGCTTTTTTCACAATAAATTTGCCAGTGTCTTTCAAATCCAGCTTTTTTTTAATATACACTTGATTTATACAGGAAGAACCTGAAGTAAAATTTTTGTTAGAGCAGTTGCCCCTGTGTTACCAGTGCTTTGCTACAGCGTACATGTAATTAACCCCACTCAAACAGTGATAAAGAAACGAAACAGTCTTCTTTGTTTCAGAATATTCTCAAGTGAAGTTAGCCCATGTACATGTTTCACTGGTATGAACTGCAAACAGTGCAACCTACATGTAAAGGTCTAGTGATATCGGTGGTTCTGCCCGCAAGGCCTGTTCAGAGCACTGGTAAACATCTCATGCTTTCACGGCCAGCAAATACAACCCAGAATACATGTAGGTTTATATCACATTCAATCTTTGACTTAATTACATAATACCATACAATGGGATTCTTTGATACGTGCAGGGATAAGCTCATCAGTTTTAAATCATATTTGAAACTAGGTATAAAGAGGCTGTAAGGGGCATTTCTTCCTATACCCATAATGCTTTCTATCAGAATCAATGTGTCTGAATTCAGACAAAAGTCGGAAGAATCTCATGCCTGTACATAGAGGAAGGACACAGAAGGAGTTTGAACTGCTCGGGCTGTAACATCTGGCCAATTACCGCTTTCTGGCATGCCTGGTATGTCCATAGCCAGAGTGCAGCAAACGCTTGCTACGCACCATCTGTATCACAACCACAAAACCCCTTTGTACCCTATGATTGCCACTGCAATTTGTTGGTGGTAATCTGCATCCTTAAAACTCCGTGTACTGTGGTATAGGAAATTGAATATTCATGCCTTTGTTGGTGCTTGGTATGATCTTATAACAACATCAAATTTAATGCTTGCGCAGTTGCTTGCATTACGCTCTGTGCCCTAAATCTATATGTGCAGTCATTGCCCTTAATGAGCACTTTCTTCTGGAGTTATTTTGGGAATAAACAGCTTGGTTGTTTACAAGATTTTGTGTTTGTTTGAACCATTTTTATTATGGCATTTATTTATTATGGCAAAAGCATATTTTATGAGATTTCACGATCACTCCCTGTGATGAAATAGTGCATTTTGTTCATAATGAACTAAGCTTTCTAGTAGCAGTGAACATTTTGTTGGCCAGTCTTAGCCAAATTTGTACCAAGTCTTTGAACACTGATGCATTGGACGGAGGAGAATAAAATTACAAACTTTGCATGGATAATGGAACAGTGTATCAAAATTTTAAAAGTCTATTTATGATGGCAAAAGTAGGTCTAATATCAGGGATTTTTCTCTATTTCCTGGTCACATCGATAATTTGTATTTAATTGCAAGCAAAAAACTACAAGTATTACTAGGATATTACTGGCCCCGCTTGTCCGGCTAAGCTGCAGGCAGTAATCAGGCATTCTTGGAAGGTTTTCTATTATTCGTCTGACTCGGCGGCGACCATCATTGAACACTTTGACTTGCCTGAGTTGCAACTCCTTCTGTGTTCTTCCTCTATGGTACATATGACCTGTAACAAACAGCTCAAAATCTGATATCTACATCTGTTGACAACTTGCAATATAAATGGCATCAGCATTAATCCACTGTGGAATACATACATGTATGTACATATGCTCTATATCCCAGCTGGGAAAGTCATTCCTATAAATTCCCTAAACACACCCAATTATGCACTAATATGGTTCACAGTTGAAGCACATGTATGCCAAGACAGATAGCCATGTACGAAATAGACTCCTTTCTGCACAAGCCTGGCAGTTACACTGTACAGCTCTGTCAGTGCAGTTGTGATAGTACATGTATGTGCATTGGGCAGTGCAGTCTGTCGGCGGCTCTCTCCAGCAGTCCCTAGAACTTCTTGGTTTTAGCCAGGCGATTGTTCCTCCTCATGTGCATCCTCCTCAGCTTTCGCCAGTACTGCGGTGTGTCGGGCGACATTTCCTCCAGCGTTGGGGGAGGTCCGATATGGAGGTCCCACAGCCAGTCTGGATAGTCCTCGTCTGGTCCCAGCTTAACGTCCTGACCCTCTCGGAAGTAGTTCGACCCAGAGCAGTGGCTCACCAGGTAGTTGGGGTCTGTGTTGACTTGCATCAACTCTCTTGGCTCGGCAACTCTGGATCCTTTCCCTAAAAATATTGCAATTTGATTTGGTTTATTTCCCTTTCCACATACATGGACAATAAAATAATAACAGAAAGAATAAATGTATATGCATTAATAAGTAGATAACAAAAAAAATATGCATAAAAAAGATATCAAGACTATGGCTACATAATACAAAACAAAAACATTTGTGGAAAGAGCTGGGATGATGCAATAACATTGCAAAAACTTATTTCCATCGCAGTCCCAAGTGTGGAGAAACTTCTTAATCTTTTCCTGTCTACCACAGAGCAGTTAGGGAGCAAGACTTTAATGAAGTACCTCAGAAGTGCGGATATGGTGGGGATAATATACTTGTAGCGGAAGTTAACACTTGGCAGAGTGCAAAATCAATGGGGCAGGAGGAAAACAGTTCTGAATCTCTACCTTGTACAGTTATACGGATATATGTTTGTGGAGAAAAAGGCGTACATGTACATCCAATGCAGATTCTCTTAAGTGGCTATACGGCCATACATATACATGTACGTAAGGAATTAGTCATATTCGTACTCGTTACAGTGTAAATGCAATGGGAGGGTCCAAAAAGGAACCGGACCAGTCTGTGATGCATGGGCCTTGGACTTCATTTCCTGATATGCTTTTGCTTTTTATCACCATGGCAACTGTGTGCAGAGCGTGTTTTGGTTGATTCTGAAGTAAACACTGAATCTCCAACTTTACGCCCCTTTCTCAAAGAATCTTTCACACCTGCGAATTGTCCATGAGTTTTCCGTAATTTGCACTTAGTACTTCGACCAAATTTTGTTCTTAAATAAACTACACTTTTTGTGGCTTCACTTTGACAAGTTGAAAGTTTGACTAAAATCCAACATACATAATATTTTGAGGAACACTGGACGTCACCGAAGTGACAGAAATGCCATCATCTGCAGACAAGTCAGGTCGGTTGAATTAAGTCACCATGGTGCATCCTACATGTTTTTCGCACACACTACAAACATCATTTTACAGAGATTAAGCTGTGCCCTACAGGTACTTCCCAAAAATTCTATAAATTGGTACCTCTTGTATTCATCACTGTAGGTTTGGTGACCCAGCTTGAGAAAAATCTACGTTCATTTGCCATATCTTGATGTTCTTCTTTTTCCCCTCTTACTTTTAATTATTTTCAATTTAGAGTTATGCATACATTTACATTTTCTTCTTTCAATATATTACCCCAAAGAAGCAACAGGCCTCAATGCAAGTGTACATATACATATACTGGTAGTCAATTTGGGTACTGTTAACACAAATATAGTACCATTTCTGCAAAAAGAAGTACCAAAAAAACCCCCAGTTGTTACTAGATTCATGCCTTGGCAAAGGCAATCTGAAAATATAAGGTACATTTTTTTCATGCTCTGCATTTTTTGATAACGCCCTCAGTAGTTTGCAAAAGTCAACTGGAGTCATCATTTACGTTTCGAAGTCTGACTTTCAGCTCTGATCATGGCCTAACAGTGATCATTTATTGGCTTTTAAAACAAAATTTTATATCTTTTATAATCGGCCTGTAATGTAATAAAATTTTTGAAATTCGAAGTGAAGCCAGCATTTGATTTATTGAAATAAGGCACAAATAAGAACAAAGATTTTACAAAAATATGCATTTTGAGCTTTTCATTTAAAATCTATACTCATTTTTGTGTACAAAATAATCACAGTTTGCCCTGCATTACACATGTACAAAAACGTCTCACAACATTCCCACTTCAAATAGATTTTTCTCTGCTTTGAAGAGTCCGATGGAATCCAAATTTCCATCAAAAGAATTCTTATGACATCCTCTCCAAGATCACTTCAAAAATAAAATAGAAAAAACACTAGAAAAATGTATTACCGCTGATTACTAATGCTAGTCTCCCTAATTTTGGGAAACCTACTCCACAATACAAAGAAAATGTGACTGGCTGATACTACTAGCAGTGACTAGAGTCACCATGGTGATGGCGGAAATACGAACAAATCAAGCAATCAGATTGATCAATCATTTGATTGTAGATCAACTAATTGTCATGATTGTGCCCCAAAATGACATGCATGACATTTGATCTAATGTAGTAATGGTATAGGCCTACATCCCCATGCACGTGTACACTTTGTAATACTAACAGTCAACAAGGTTGCGCTGCTATGCAGCCTAGCCACATGCCCATGGTAGGCCAAGGCTACATCATACATCATGTAGTAATGTACATGTACATGATGATGTAGTGTGATCATCATCATCATGGCGTGTAAACATTAACATGTGACGACTATATATAGGCTACATGTACATTAGCCCAGGTTGGATGTTGTCTTCATTAACACTACCAACAAATGACTCCGTCAAACATGGGCTACGTCACTGCATGTAGGCCTACTGAGTACTGACTTGTACGTACGTAGGCCTATAACTACAACATGGGCCTAGGCCTACCTGCTTTTTTGGCATACGTTAAGACATGAGTCTTCCATACGTTGAAGATTAAATATGAACTTTGAAAAGGAAGATGAGGAGTAAAAGAACGACGTTCAGCTTGACTGAACATGTTTGCCCGAAGAAGTAAAATCGCTCTTCTCATGGAGGCCGCCATTTTTAAAACGAGCGCCCTCTATGAGATGACTTCGAAATTCCAGTTTCATGACTGAACTAGTACCCAAATCACAGCCGTGTTAGCGAATGTCAGGTAAAAGCAGGATCAGACCAGGGTAAAGCAAGCACGTGGAAATGTTGTTCGTGAACATCTTAACTGCAGCTGAAAGAGTTGATCATGCACGGTCATGCGCTAGTATATGTGCCATGAACACACCAACCAACCAAGCACCATGCACGGTGCTCATCTTGAGTGGCTGTTTCCTCGCCTTCCACCTCTGCAACTTGGGTTCGAATCTCACCTAGGTCAGCATCAAAGATCGTGTAGCGCTGCGTGGTTTTGGTTCAGGCCGGCCCTAGCCCAGGTTGGACTGACCCTCCGTAACGTAGTACAGTCAGGGAGCCCACCTGGGCTAGGCCGGCCCCAGAACTGTGGGGTCCGATGTCAGACCCCATACACTGGGGGTAGCTTTGGTCAGCATATAGATTGTTTTTTCAGTCCCTGCCTGACTCCGTCATGTCTGTGGGCTTTCCCAGAATATCTATCCAGGGTTTTCCTCCCTCCAAAAACTGAACATTTCTTCATTGTCCTCTTAACTGTCACTGCATCCTGTAAATTGCGCTAAATATGCTGTTGGATGAACATAACTACATGTAGACCTGTAAATGATATGGAAGGAGTTCCATACAGACGATAACTTGGTGCCCCTGGCTTTGCACAAACTTGTGAGACTTGTCCGAAAAAACCCTGTGTTTTCTAAGCACATGTCAATGTTTTGGATTTTTTTTTGACTGAATTTCACTTTTTAGGACATGTTCACACTTTCTGGTGGCTGTCATAACATTTAAAGGGAAAGTAAGAGTTGTCTGTGTGCTGAACTCTTTCCTAATTAGTAGACACGATAGACCTGGAGGAGAAAAACAATGGTGCAAAGCGCGGACGCTTTTTTGATGTTGACATGAAAACCGACCAGTTTTATAACTTTAGGCCTAGGCCTACTACATGTACATGTACCTGTTGACAGCAAAAACCGTGGCTTTGTGTGAGGATTAGTGCATACCACACATACAGTTAATTCACCGTGCAGCTGCTGGTTCAATGGGGCCTGCTGCTGGACAAAGCCCTCCATTCAGGGCATACCACAGCCCAGCAGTCACGGTCAAAAGAATCCGGCCATGAAAGGGTTAAACGCCCATCAACATGTTTGAGATTCAGACTTCTCACCATGATGGCAGACTGGTTCATTACAA